CGCGGCCGCGCGGCAGCGCGGCGCGGGATCGGTTCTCGACGCAGCGCGCGACGCGCCGCGGGCGGTGTGGAGGGGCGGCGGCGCTGCTGGCCGGCCCCTGACTCGCGTTGTTGTGTCCCTGGGAGCAGCGTTGCGCGGGACGGCGCGGGCGAACCCGCTCGGGCGACGGCCCCAGGGCGTCCTCGACTGTGACTCTGGCTCGAGTACGCGGGCTGCAGTCGCGGCGGTGTGCGCCTGCAGTGTGTGTCACGTGTGCACACGCGAAGAAGTAATTGACCACCCGCGAGCACGGACGCGGACGCGGACGCGGGTTGTTCACAGGGGCCTCGGCATGCGCGCGAGGACGTCCAGGCAGGCCGGGGGCGCGAGCGTGGTGGCGCGAGCGTGGCTGGCACGCGTGCGTCGTCGTCGTCGCTGCACGTGCGTGCCCGCGCTCGGGCGCGGGCGGGGAGCGGGGGCGTCGAGGAGGGCCGCTGCGGTGGGCGAGTGGCCGCGCGTCGCCCGGGCGCGCTCAGGAGGGCGCGTAGCGGGTCAGCTCCGGCACCTCGAAGGTGCAGAACCGCCACGGCACGGGCGGCACGTGCAGCGCGGGCCTGCACAGCGCCTCCTCCCACTCCTCGATCGGCGAGGACTGCCTGTTGTCCGACATCTCCGCCTCGAGGTGCCCCAGCGCATGCGCCAGCATGTTGACGAGCGCCAGGGGGCGCTCGTCTGCCTGGGGGCGGCGCTCGCCGTCGCCGGCGCCGGCGACGGCCGGCTCGACGAGGTGCGCGCCGACCGCCTCAGACAGGTCCTTGTTGCCCACGACGTAGAGGGCGGCCCGGTCGAGGTCGGGCTGCACGTACTCTCGGACCCACGGCAGCGCCAGGAACTCCGCTGCGAGGGCGGGGCGCGGGCGACGGCGCGTCGGTGCGGTGCGTGCGCGGGACGCGGGTCGTGACGTGCGTCGAGGCGCGCTGCGTGCACGTGGGCGCGCGGGGGAGGGCGGGCGACGCAGGGGCGCACCCGTGATGGTACTCGGCTTGCACATCTGCTCGGAGCGCTCGAGCAGCCGACGCAGCGTGTCCGCCGTCGGCGCAGGGGCCTTCCACTGCCGCGATGTCTCCCGGGGGACCGGGGCCTGCAGCTGGTAGAGGTCCGTGGCAGGACTGGACGCGTCCCTGCGCTGGGCCGGGAACGCCTTGGCGACGATCCGCGCCCCGAGCGGCTCCAGTTGCCGCTCCTGCGTTGCGCGGCTGATCGTCGTAAGCGCGACGGGCTTCGTCAGGTGAGAACCCACGACTCTTTTCACCTGCACAACGACAGCAGCGCCGCGAGGGGGAGGAGCGCTCGGCGTGCGCGCGGCGGCGGTCGGGGGCGCACGTGGGGGGCGCACGTGGGGGGGGAGGGGGCGTACGCTGCAGCCGCCGTGGTCGAGGAGGCGCACCCTGCCCTCCAGGGTTTTCACGAAGCTGGCGCGCGCCGCATCGTGCTGCTCGTCAGTCGCGCCCTCGTCCCGCGGCAGGTACGTGCCGAGTTCCTTCAGCACGTCGTCCAAGCACTTCAGCGGCCTGCACGAGCCGTCCCCCTTGCGCGGGCGCATCTGCGGGCCAAGGGGAGGGGAGGGGGTTGTACAACATGTCTGGTGTGTGCACACATGTTATGTGTGTGTGTCGACGCAGTCATGTGGGGAGGGGTGGTTGAAGGCGCTCTCCAGGCGAGGCGGCATGGCGCGGGGCGCGCACGCGCCGTCGGAGGAGCGCTGGGGCCAGCCAGCTGTCATGTCGGAGCTGGGCGTAGTAGCGCACCTGCACCGCCAGCGCGAGGATGGTGGGCTTCGTGAAGCCGCGGGGCTGCATGCCCATGAGGAGGGCCGCGTAGACTCGGACCATCCGCCACTGCGTCCGCCCCACGCTGAGCGCGGGGACCTCGCGCCCGTCCTTGGCGAGCGTCTCGTGACGCACGACCTCCCCCTGCGCGCGCAGCGGGTCCGCATCGACGGATGAGTGCAGGCGCGGTGCGCGGGTGGGACGAGCTGTCGCCCGCGATCTGCGGCGGCGGCGAGGCCGTGGCAGCGGGGCGAGCGAACGACGACACAACGAACGTTGGGTGGTGGTGGTGGGGAGGTGTGCCGGTCCGCACCTGGCGTTCTTGCAGGCCGCCCGCTTTGCTTGCGGGCAACGGCGCGCCTTTCTTCCCCGCCACGGCGTGCTCCAGAGTGTCTAGGAAGCCCGGCACTCTCAGGACCGCGAGGCCCTGCCCCAGCTTGATCTTCTGCGGCTCCTTCGGGTTCCGCGGGTCGGCGTCGAGCGACACGCGCGCGAGAATCTTCGCGGGGGCCGTCGACGGTCCCGCGCCGCCCTGGGCCGCGGCCGGCGACGCGAGCCTGCGGGTTTCGGTTTGGGGGCCAGAGGGCGCGCGGGCGCGTCGGTGCGGTCGCGCGGGCGCGCGTTCTCGGCGCGGGGGCGCGCACGGAAATCCCGTTGGTCGGGATCGCGCGGGGCCCGGCCGTCTGCGGCCCCCAACGGGCCGGGACCGCGCGACCGGTTCAAGCGCTCGAGCAGGGCCTCGCGTCGTCGCCGTGGCGCGCCGGGCCCCGCGCTGCGGCGCGGGCGGTCGTCCGGAGTCGGACGGGTCCGGGAAGGCGCGGGAAACCGCGTGCGCGCCGCTCGCTTCCGCGCGTGCTCGGCACGGAGGGGCTCAGCAGCAGCAGGGTGGTGATCGCCGCACCTGTCGGGGGCGCGCGCCGATCCGCCGCCGCGAGTCTCGTCCCGCGAGCGCGAGCGCCGGCGGTGCGTGCTGCCGCCGCCGCGGCCGGAGCCGGAGCCGGAGCCGGAGCCGGAGCCGTCCTCGCTGGAGGAGCTCGCCTCGCGCGGCATGTCGGACGTGCTGGTCCCGCTCCTCCGGTGGTCCGGGCTGCTGCTGCCCGGGAGTGTGGTGTGCGCGGGCGGGCGCGGCCCCACTCGTGCCCGGCGGGGCGCAGGGAGGCAGTCGGGCGCACACACCGGGCAGCGAGCGACGCGGCGAGCCGCGACGCGACGCGAGGGGGGGCGGGCGCGCGGGCGCGGGCGCGCACGAGCATCCTCGATCGGCAGGGCGCGTGGCGGCGGCCGTCGCGCGCCCGCGCGTCGGCCACGGCGCGCACGCTGCGGCCAGCGCAGGGGGCCGCGCTCGTGCGGTCCGGGGGCGGGCTTCCGGCGGGGCTGCGGACGAGCCGCACAGAGGGTGTTCGCGGTCGCCCTGGGCTCCGGAAATCGCGAGGGGCCCGGCGCTCGAGTCCGCAGCTGCGGTGGCCATCATGGCCCTGCACAGGCCCCCGCGCGTCCGGTGCGGCGCGCCCCGTGGCGCTGCCGCGTGCAGTTCCCGACGGTCTCTGCGATGCGCCGCGCGTCCGGTGCGGCGCCTCCCCGAGCGGGTGCGAGTGCGTGTGCGCTCCCTCGGGCGGCAGCTGTGCGCTCCCTGCCGCGCTCCCGTCCCCGCAACGCTCCGCCACACTGGCGGCGTTTCGCGCTGCAACTCCCGGCGTTCGTCTGGGGTGCTGCGGGCCCGCGCACTAGGCAAGGACCCGTGCAGTCGCGTCGGCTGCGGCCGTGCCCTCACCGGGGATGCTGCACCCACACACCGCAGCGCCGCGCCTCCCGCGGCCCTCGCGGCGAGCGGGCGTGTGGCCCGGCGAGGTTGCGCGGCGCGGTGCGTCCTCCGCGCGGCGCCGCAGCGCACATCCTGCCGCAGCGTCCTCGTCCACGCTGGCGGACGCTGGCGGGGTGCCCGGCAACGCCCACGCTGCACCTGCGGCGCGGCGGGCGTCCGAGGGCGCTGCGGCACATGCCATTCACGATGCATCCCGCGCGGCAACGACGTGGTTCGCCGCCCCCCCCCTCGAGGCGTGTGGCCGTCAGCCCGGAGAGACAGACGGGGCGGCGCCGAAGCGGCGCCGAAGCGGGGCGATATGAGAACCTGCGGTCAGCGGCGCTTAGCGTCGCGCGCTCCACGACTCCGCGAATTGGTTGCATCGTCGCGGTGCAGCGTGCCGAGAGGACGGACGGCCGTGCTGGGACACGCGCCGTTGCTGCACCTGCTGCGGCAGTGCACAGCCAGGCGACGCACGCGTTCGGTCTGTCAGGCCGTGGGGAGCATGTGGGGAGCATGTGGGGAGCATGTGGGGAGCATGTGGGGAGCATGTGGGGAGCATGTGGGGAGCATGTGGGGAGCATGTGGGGGCGTGTGGGTAGCATGTGGGGAGCATGTGGGGAGCGTGTGGGTAGCGTGTGGGTAGCATGTGGGGAGCATGTGGGGAGCATGTGGGGAGGATGTGGGGAGCATGTGGGGAGCATGTGGGGGCCTGATGCCGAGGCTGGCGCGACTCTCGAGGCTCACACAGAACGTCAGTCCAGTCTGCGTTGCTGGAGTTCCCCTACCCAGTGCTCTCGGTGCCAGAGGTGCCCTCCTGACCCCTGCCTGGTCACGCGTAAGAGCTGTGTGCGGTCGCCGACGAGCTCACTTTTGAGGGAAATGATGTTACCGCAGGTCGAACCTCGAGGCGCCGCTTCATGAAGAGCAGCTTGTCGATTTCCGACGGCACGGTGTAGGCGTCGCACGCCGCCAGCACCAGCGCCAGGAAAAATGTCAGAACGACGGGTCTCGAAATCTGCACAGCGGGGGCACGATCCGCGGCGTTCGCGGCTCGAACGGAGCCACCATGGTGGGATCGCGGATTCTCGCGGCACCGCACGGCCGCGGACCACGTCTGACAATGATCCTACCATGGTACAGGGAGCACGATTGATCGGGGGAGCAACGGTTGCTAGCCGACGGTCGGAGCCCAAGGCCTTCGAGGCACTGCCCCTTTGAGCCACACGCAGGGAGTCCCTGTAAAGCCTTTCACACTCTCGCAGCTATTCCGCGACCGAAGTGCAACAACGTGGCACACGGGCGCCTGGGGAGCAGCCCAGATGCCGCTGAGGTGCCCGTCCCAGCGTCAGTGTTCTACTCGAAGTGACACCTGTCATGCCAGGCCGCAGTCAGCGTTGCCGAGCGCGCGGGAGCAGCAGCGCGGCTCCGATGGACAGCAGAATGATCGCCCGCCCGACCTTCCCGGCCGTCGTTCCGCGCCGCGGCGGGGGCCGCCCCGCTGCGTCCTCCTGCACCGCGGGGTTGGAGCCTCACGGTGCAGCTTGCGCTCAGCGTCCGCGGCCCCCGCTACCACAGCTGCTGCCTCGCGGCGGCCTCCTGCAGCGCCTTCATGCGCGCTTCGGCGGCCTTCGCGCGCGCCTCGCGGGCAGCGACGGGGTCTTTGGGCGCCGCGGACGACGCCCCCGCGGGCGCAGGTGCCCGGCCGGACCCGCCGCCTTTCTGTTGGGCTCTGACCTTGTTGCCGGCGCGGAACTGCTCCGGTTGCGACGACGCGGTCGCGTACGCCTCGCGCGCTGCTCGGTCGATCTCCTCCTGCAGCACCTGCTGCCGACGCTCCTCGCGCTGCTGGGCGGTCTGCCGCGCGGCCCGCTTGCGCTCCTGCGGCACGCCGGGAGCCGCGGCGTCGGCTCAGATCGCGCCCCGCGCGCAGCATGTCGCCGTGCGCGAGCGAACCGCTGTGTGCGTTGCGGGGGTCTCACCTGCTCCTTCTGCCGCCGCCGCTGCTCCTTCTCCTTCTTCTGCGCCTTCTGCCGGCTCTCCATCTCCTCCGTCAGCGCGCTCGGCACCGCGGCCTCCTCCCAGTCCCACGCGTCCGGGCACTTGGCCATGTGCCGCCGGAACGCGTCCCGCGCCGGCTTGTTCGACGCCACCATGTACGGCGTCCAGCCCCGGCTGTCCAGAACCGTCGGATCGTGTCCCTCCTGCAGCAGCTGGGCGACCAGCTCCGCGTCCCCCGCCCGCGCGGCCTTGTGCAGCTCGGAGGGCGGCACTGTGGGCTCCGCTTCGCTCGCGGGCTCCTCCGGCATCCACGGGTTCGCAACCGCCTGCGCCTGCGCCGCGCCCGCGAGCGACCAGTTCGAGAACTGGTCCTGCACCGCGGCCGGGGGCTGCTGGGGCTGCGCCGGTGCACCCGTTGCGGGCGCATTCGTCGGCTGATGCTTCGCGGGGGGCTTCGCGGGGGGCTTCGGCGCCTCGTAGATCGACGTGAGGGCGTGGACGACGCGCTTCGTCTCGGAGAAGGTCGGCCGCTTGGTCGCGACGGGCACGCGTCTGACGCGCGGGTCGCCGGTCAGCTTCAGGCCGGTCTCGGCGCAGAACACCGCCGCGCGGTCGGCGCGGGAGAGCTGCACGAGGATCAGGTCCGCGCGCTCGAGCGCCGGCCGCCAGCGCGCGAGGTGGCCGCGGATGTTCTCCGCCAGCGCGCGCTCGTTGGCTCTGCGCAGCGCCGACCCCGCCGACGACGCGACCTGCCCCGTCGCGTCCTTCGCGCCCTGCCGCCCGCCCTGCCCCGCGCGCACGACGTACCGGTGGAACGTCTTGTGCGCGATGCACGCGCACCCCGGCACCTCGGTCACCACCTTGACCTTCTGCGCGCCCAAACAGTCCGCCGCGCCCCCCAGCGCCTCCGCCGCGAGCGAGGCGCGCGCGGCCTCCCGCCCGGACCCCGCGCCGCGCCCGACCGTGAACAGCGACCCCGCAAAGTGCCCCCCGCGCGCGAGCAGCACCGCCCACACCTGCGGGCGGCCGCCAGGCGCGCCTGCCGCCGCGGCGGGCGCGCCGAGGAGACGCGCGACGCCGCGCAGGGCCTGCGAACCGTCGTCGTGCGGCGGAGCGAGCATGCACCTCCAGATGAAGATTCGCTCCGGGAGCGACGTCGGTGCCGTGGCGTCGCGGCGCAGCATGATGCGCGGCCCGCGGCTGGCAGCGGCGAGCGCGTCGCCGGCGCCCAGGTCGCCCGCGTCCTCGTACTCGTCGCCGTCCTCCGACTCCGACTCTGCGCGCGAGCGCGGCGCGTGTGAGCGGTGGTGAGGCACGCACGCGCCATCCCCCAGTGCGACCTGCAATACGGCGCCCTGCCCCGCGCGGCGCTCCGCGCCCGTGCGCTCACGCCCGCGGCGGACGCACCTGTGTCCGATCCCGAAATAGACCCCGCCTCGCCGGCCCCCACCAGCGCCTCGAAGTCGGGCTCCGTCAGCGGCGCCAGGCCGCGGCCGCGTCGCTGCGCGTTGAGGCGGTGCCAGTCCCCTCGATAGTGCGCCCGCATCGCCTGCGTGGGTCGGCGCGAGCGTTGCGAGGTCGAGCCCGGGCGTGCTCGGCTGCCCCGTCGCGGCGCTGTCGACCATGCGTGTGTGCTCCAGGAAGGATGCCGGGAAACGTGCCTGTGTCGACTCGAACGCCGACTCCGGACCGATCCCGCACGTCTTACACGTTGCGGAGAGGCCGGGCTGGGACACGACTGCGCCTCCGGGCCCGCTGGGCGCCGGTTCGGGGACGATGTGGTGCTTCCCTGGAGCTGCGCTGCCCGTCGGGAGCGCGTCCGCGTCCTCCGCGCCGTACCATTCTTCGTCGATCCTGAACGCAGACAGCTCCTCCCAGGACCTGTCGAACAGGTTGCCCAGCGGGCGGTCGCCCATCGCGACCCCAGTGGGCGCCGCAGCCTACGCTACCAACTGGCGGGCATTCCTCGGTCAATGACGGCGTCGTGCCTGCTCCTGAACGTGGTGCGGGTGCAATGCGGGTGCCCACGCGTCTTCAGGACGGCGCCGTGGCACGTGGATGCCCGGCGCGTATCCAGCCACGAGCCTCTTTCTGAACCTGCGTTTTCGGGTCGATTTCAAGCGGCGAAGAACGAGTCCAGCGGGACGGAAGTACTCCTTGGACACGTGCGCGGCGCGTGGACGGCGCTGCGCGTATCTACCGCGACGCTGAGAGGTATGAGGGCACCGTCTGACGGTGCGGTGACGCAGCGGCCGCGTGCCTTGGGCTGTGCGGGACGGTTCGGCGCGCCAGAGCCGTCGCAGCGGACGTGGGTACTCGACCGCGATTCACGTCACCCTGGATTTCGCCCCATGGCGCGGAGACACGGTTGAGACAGCAGGATGAGCGAGTCCAGGGCGCAGGAGAGACTGTGGCTGTTCGCCGGCGTAGGGGCGGCGGCGGTCGGGCTCATTGGCCTGACCGTGTACGCGACAAGCAGGTGCGTCGGCGGGCAGCTCCCCGCGGGCTGCGAACGATCGCTGCTGCACACCTGAGGCCGCCAAAGCGCGCCACGGCCAATAGCACCGCGGCAGAGCCGAGAGCGCGGGCCGCCACGCAGCTCCAAGTTCGCACGCGGTCGTTCCGGTGGTTGATTCGGCCTGAACTGCCCCCCCAGTGCGCGTTCAACCTCTGGTCCACCCGCCCGGACGTCGTTACCGCGCGAGCGCGTCCCCCCGCGTCGCCCTGCGCCGAACGAGCCAGGGGTCCCGCGAACACGAGGCATCGGCGCCCCTCCTGGGCCCGCCTAGCAGGCGCGAAGGCGCGAACGGGGCGCTGGGCGATGCCTAGCCCGTACTAGTCACTCGTGCTGAAAGTGTCGGCATCTCGCTCAGAGTGCGCGCTCGCCGCGTCCCGGCGTCGCGCTTGTACCCGCAGCGCACGCATCAGTCCGGTTGCGGAGCATTGAGCGCGCCGCCCCGCTCCCTGGACGGTTCCGCAGGTATCACCAGCAGCAGCTGGGCTCACTGCTGGAGGAGCTGCGCGAGAGCCAGGGGGCGCAGGATGCCAGGGACAGCCGGCCCTCTGGACGCGCGCAGGGGCGGAAGAACCGCCGCCCGCCCAGGAGCAGCAACGCCCGCAACTCGGTCGCGGGCCGGGCGCACGAGACCACGCCGGCCAACGGGACGTCCGCCCTGACGCGGGAAATCCACGGGTGCGCGACCCACGCGCCGGCGCCCGCCCCGGCCGCGGAAGCGCCCCCCGTACCGCCGGGAGCGCGGCGTCCAGAGCATCCAGAGGCAGGTTGCCGCGCGCGCCCGCCCGCCGCTGCGCTGCCACGTGCCGTGACCGGCCGCGAGCCCCTCGCACCGCGGCGCAGGTCGGACATGCCGTACGCGAAGGACCGGCGCGCGCCGTGGGACGGCGGCGAGGACACCCCGAGTCGCGCGGAGGGCACGCCGGCGGGGTACACGTCGGGGCAGGTGGCGCGGGACCGGGCGGTGCGCGAGCAGGACCCGAACATGACGGCGTGGCAGCGCATGCAGCGCGAGGAGTTCCTCGCGGGGCGCGCGGAGGGCACGTCGGCGTACAACCGGCACCCGGGGCGCGACTCGGAGATGGACGCGGTGGACGACCGGCTGGACGAGGAGGACACGCCGGGGCTGCGCGGCGGGGTGCGCGTGCCGCACGCGGGGGTGACGCCAGACCGCGCGGAGACCGCGCACAACATCGCGCACGGGCTGCCGTCGCCCGCCGTGCACAGCCGCTCGCCCGCCCGCGGACACATGTCGCCGTTCGGGGGGCGCCAGCCGCAGACGAGCTCGCCGCTCCGCACGTCCATCCAGGTGCGTCCCGCGCCGCCCCGCGCCCGCGCCCGCGCCCGCTCTCACGTGTCGTGCGCGCACGACCCCCCCCACCCCCGGTTTCCCCCCTGTGGGTTGCAGAAGCCGCTCAACCGCGTGGGGAGCATCACGAACCTGAGCAAGTCGCTGGAGCAGCCGAGCGTGTTCCAGCACTACAGCGTGCCCGCGTCGGCGTCCGCGGCGCGCACCGCTTCGAGCGCGGTGGCCATCCAGGCCAAGCAGCACGCGCCGCACGGGGGCCACTCGGCGTCGCTGGTGGTGCCGGACCCGCCGGGGAGCCCCGCGCACGAGTACTCGCGCGTGATCACGCCCGAGGTGGGCCTGAACAACGAGCAGGAGGAGGTCGCGGCGATGCTCCTGGAGGCGCTGCAGCTGCGCGACAAGTACCTCTTCCAGCCGGCGGTGAGCCCCGAGGACCGGGAGTCGGAGGAGTGCGCGTGCCTGAAGGACCTGCAGGGGGAGGACCCGTTCGCGTGGGACGAGAGCAAGGCGCGGAAGGTGGACTGCCACTTCGAGATGGTGGAGGGGGTGTTTCACGTGTGGGACGGGCCGGAGAAGGAGACGCTGCTGTTCGCGCCGCCGAGCGACGGGCGCGGGTTCTTCGGGGACCTGCAGGCGATGATGACGCTCATCTCGCGCGGCCCCGTGAAGACGTACTGCCACCACCGCCTGCTGCTCCTGGAGCAGAAGTTCAACCTGCACCTGATGCTCAACCAGGACCGCGAGGCCGACGCGCAGAAGAAGGCGCCGCACCGGGACTTCTACAACGTGCGCAAGGTGGACACGCACATCCACCACAGCGCGGCGATGCACCAGAAGCACCTCCTGCGCTTCATCAAGAGCAAGCTCAAGAAGGAGCCCGACCAGGTGGTCATCTTCCGCGACGGCAAGTACCTCACGCTGAAGGAGGTGTTCGAGTCCCTCAACCTCAGCGCGTACGACCTGAACGTGGACATGCTCGACATGCACGCCGACAAGGGCACCTTCCACCGCTTTGACAAGTTCAACCTCAAGTACAACCCCTGCGGACAGTCGCGCCTGCGCGAGATCTTCATCAAGCAGGACAACCTCCTGCACGGGCGCTTCCTCGCCGAGCTCACCAAGGAGCTCATCACCGACCTCGAGGCCTCCAAGTACCAGCACGCCGAGTGGCGCATCTCCATCTACGGCCGCCAGAAGCGCGAGTGGGACACGCTCGCCGCCTGGGTCGTCACCAACCGCCTCTCCTCCAACAACGTCCTCTGGATGATCCAGATCCCGCGCCTCTTCTCCGTCTACAAGGAGCAGGGGCTCCTCGACAACTTCCAACAGTTCCTCGACAACATCTTCGAACCGCTCTTCGAAGTCACCCGCGACCCCTCCTCGCACCCCCACCTCCACATGTTCCTCACCCAGGTGCGGCCCGCCCGCCGACCGCCGACCACCGACCCACCGCGCAAATCAGCCCCCCGTACGCACTGCACTCGCCGCGCACGCCCAGGGCCGCCCCGATCCCGCGACGCGCCACGCGCCCCGCGCAGGTCACGGGCTTCGACATGGTGGACGACGAGAGCAAGCCGGAGCGGCGGCCGAGTCGCAGCGTCAAGATGCCGCAGGACTGGGACGTCAAGCACAACCCCGCGTACTCGTACTACGTGAGTGACGCGACGCACGCCACGCCACGCCCCGCGCACGCCCCGCGCCCCACCGACCCGCGGAGACCTACCTCCCCTGTGCGCGCAGGCGTACTTTGTGTACGCGAACCTGTACACGCTCAACCACATGCGGGAGGCGCGGGGCCTGAACACGTTCAGCTTCCGCCCGCACTGCGGCGAGGCGGGGGACATCGACCACCTGGTGGCGGGCTTCCTGCTCGCGGAGCACATCGCGCACGGCATCAACCTGCGCAAGTCGTCCTCCCTGCAGCACCTGTACTACCTGGCGCAGATCGGGCTGCACCTCTCGCCGCTGTCCAACAACTCGCTCTTCCTCGACTACCACCGCAACCCGCTGCCCACCTTCTTCGCGCGCGGCCTCAACGTCAGCCTCTCCTCCGACGACCCCCTGCAAATCCACCTCACCAAGGAACCCCTCGTCGAAGAGTACTCCGTCGCCGCGCAAGTCTGGTGAGCCGCGCCGCGCACCGCGCACCGCGCACCGCGCACCGCGCACCGCGCACCGCGCACCGCGCACCGCGCACCGCGCCCGCCCGCGCGCCCGCGCGGCGACTTCACGCGCCCCCGCTCCCCCGCCCGCCCGCTCCCGCAGGAAGTTCTCCTCCGCGGACCTGTGCGAGATGGCGCGCAACTCAGTGCTGCAGAGCGGGTGAGACCCGCGCCGGGACACGCACCGCCTCGACACGCGACGCGCACCCCTGCGCCACGTGCCGGTCCGACGCGCGCCCAGCTTGACACCCCCCCCCTGCGCAGGGTGCCACACGAGCTGAAGATGCACTGGGTGGGCACCGAGTACTGGCGGCCGGGGCCCGCCGGGAACGACATCCAGCGGACGAACGTGCCGGACCTCCGGTTGCGGTTCCGCGCCGACGCGTACACGGAGGAGATGAACCTGATCATTGCGGGCGCGACGGGCTACCACACGCGCAAGCAGGCCAACAAGATGGACATGCTGATGGACAGCTGACCGCTGCGGAGGGGCATGACGGGCCCGGGGGGTGTGATCGCTGGAACTGGGCGTGGCGTGATGGTGGCGTGGGGGCACACAATACAACATCGCGGCGTCTTTTGGGGACGGGTGTTCGAGCAAGGTGTTCTGAGGACCTGGCTCTGCGCGCCGGGTTTCGCACGGGCTGGGTGGTGTGGCCAAGGCGGTGCAGTGGCCTGCGGCGGTCGTCCGCTGCTCGGGCACGCACCGCGTCGGTCTGCCTGACTGACTGGAGCCTCACGGTGCTCCATGCGGCCCTGCGGGGGCCCGTAGTGCGATGCTTCCGACGTGCGCCGACACTTTCGATCTTCTGTGGCCGTTTGACGCGTCGGGAGCCTCTGCGCGGCAAGCAGCTGTGGTGCTACTCTCTGCGGGAAAGAGGGAGCCGGAGCTCGGGAGCCAGGGTCGACAAACGGACGGTTCAGAATGGCAGGCAGCGTTCTGCACAGTATAGCTCTCAGACTCGCCTCCTTGGGTCACCTGGTGGGCGCGTTCGGGTTCGCCCTGGTTGCGCTGCTCTTCGGGTGGTTCGTGCTCTGGAACGTCGCACTGAAGCCAGTGGTGGTGCGTTCTTTGGCCTTCCGTAGATCTCATGATCTGGTTCCGTGTCCACGGCCAGCCTCAGCGGCTTGCGTGGGCCTGAGAGGCATGCGCAGGCACTCTGGTGGTTGATACCCCTGCGCCGCGCTGCGGCAGCACGACCGACTCCGGCCCGCAACCAATCACTCCGCTGGCTGTATCGCAGGGAGATGCTGCCCAGCCGTACATTGACAAGACCAAGGAGGCCGTGAACAAGAGGCTCAGCAGGGGGAAGGGTGCCGATGCGTCGAAGAAGGAGCGATGACCGGGGTCTGTGAGCTGCATGCCAACGCTGCACATCGCGCGTCTCGTCAACTACTTCGTTCAGCGCCGCAGCCCTCCGACGCCGGGCCATTACTACGATAGAGGCGATGTTTGGTGACACAACAACAACGTGCGGGAACAGCCATCACGTGGCGCGACCGAGACGGAATGCTGAGTTAGTTACATAGCGATGATCCGGGGGCGGTCGTCGGGCCGCACGCGAGCGGCGCCTCGCGTCCTCAGGCCATGTGCTGCCGCAGCGTCTCCTCCGAAGCCTGGTACACGTAGCACCGAATCGTCTCCAAGCCCAGCCTGCGCGCACAGCCGCCGGTGCAGCGGCGTCGTCGTCGTGCAGGCGCGCGTGCGTGCCTACGCGTGCGGGCGCCCGCGCGCGTGCTGCAGCGCGTGTGCTGCGGGTATGTGTGTCACGCGATGCAGGTGTCGCCGCGCCCGCGCTCGCCGGCCCCGGCCGCTTGCGTCGCACCTCTGGTGCGCTTCGTAGCGGTGGCACCCGCTGAACCCGAAGTACCCCCTCCCCTCCACCTCGAGCACGTCGATGGGCACCTTCTGCCCCTCCTCCGCTATCGACCGCATCAGGGCCTGCACCTTCTCCTCGTCGTTGGACCGCGTGCCTGCCAGGGGCCGCTTGATCTCGTCGACGCGCAGCACCCGCTCCTGCGCGCACGACGTGCCGCACCGAGCGCAACGCACTTGTGACCACGATGTGCGCGCGGGGAAGACGCGCGCGTTCACAACAACCGCGTTCCCCGAAGGTCTGGCTTGGAACTATGCGGTCGGCGACGCGGTGGTTCGTGATGATCTTCGAGCGCCCGCAGGGTCGCCCATCTCAACTACGGCCTCAGGAGAGACGCGCGCACGCACCTGGTACTCCTTCTTCTTCCTGATTGGCACGCGCTTGTAGCGGCCCTTCGAGTCAGTGGGGAAGCCGGGCGCCTCCGCAGCGCCGCTGTCCGCAGCGCGGCACCGCACGAGCGGCCTGAAGCTCCGGGGGGCACAGCGAGCCGCGCTTGGACACGGCCGCGCGGCAGGAGCGGCCCCAGCGGCCGTGCATCTGCACTGCATGTTCCGGCGAGCGAGCAGAGGCCCCTTCCCGGGCGTCCGAAGACCTGCCTGCGCTCGAATGCCTCGCAACTTGCAACTCTGGACGAGCAACACAGGCGTGCACCGACCGAAGTGCTCCACGCTCACACGACCGCGCATGGCACGTGGAGCGCCGCGCCTGCTGCGCGCAGCATTGGCCGCGCGCCCCCGTGGTGGTGGCCATGACAGTCCTCCTGCTCGTACTCGAGCTCCCCCATGACGCTGGGGCGGCACCGTCACGGCCCCGCAAGGGCCTCCGAGCGGACGGAATCGCGCACAACGCACCACCTGCGCTGCACGAGGCACGCCGGGGTCGGGCGACGTTCGTAGTAGCTGCAGTTGCGACTCGAGTGCCACGGGTGCACCAGGTGGTCGCTTGCAGGCCTGTGCGGCCCGTGACGGCAGGGGAGTCCAGGTGTCGCGATCGGAGACGGATCCCCTCCCGCTCAGGAGGGATGGCGCAAGGTGCTTTCCCGCGCATGCCGTGCCCGTGCCGCGTGGCCGTTGAAATTTCGCCTAGCATGATGTGGCACCGGCCAGACGGGCGCCCCGAGGGACTCCCGCGCACGGTCCCCCCCCGCAATGCGGCGCTCAGTGTGCGAGCGAAGCGCAACCGTGGTTGCAGGGCGCCCCGGAGGCGCGGCGAGCGGGGAGGCGATGCGGTCGGTCACACCGTCCCCTCCGCTCGAGCAGCCCCCGAACGTGGGAGCGGGTTCGGGACACAGCGTGCCCTTCCCTGAGCACAGCGCACCGAAGCCACCAGACAGGCGCGGCCTCGACCCCGCGCGCCCACGGCACCCGCACCGCCACGACCCCCACCCTGCACCGCCACCAAACACGTCCCGCCCTGCACGCGTTTCCCCGCCGACCGCGCCCCTGCGCCCCTCGGCCCCGCCGCAGGTTCCACGCGGCGTACCTCGGGTTCTTCCTCATGGGCGTGGGCCTCCTGCTGCCGTTCAACGCCTTCATCACCGCCGTGGACTACTTTGGCGAGCTCTACCCGGGGCACCACATCGAGCGGCTCTTCACCGTGCTCTACCTCCTCCCGAACGTGCTCTCCGTCGCCGTCACCGCGCGCGTGTCGCGCCCCTCCTCCTCGACCCCGCGCATCCTAGCCGGGTTCACTGGCTTCCTGGTGTCGGTGCTCATGGTGCCCGTGCTCGACGCGGCTGGGATCGGGGACGCCGAGCAGGGAACGCGCGGCACGCTGCTGCTCACGCTCGCGGGCGTGCTCGCCACGGGCGTCTGCGACGGCATCGGACAGGGCAGCCTGTTTGGTGCGGCGGGGTCGCTCACGCCGCGGTTCGTGCAGGCGACCGTCGCGGGGACCGGCGCCGCGGGGTTCCTCGTGTGCCTCCTCCGCATCGCGACCAAGGCCGCGATGCCCGCCGACGTCGAGGGCCTGCGGCGGAGCGCGACCGTGTACTTTGCCGTCGCCGCCGCCGTCGAGGCGGCCTGCCTGGTGATTTACGCGTGCCTGCTGCCGCAGCTCCCGCTGGTCAAGTACTACCGCGCGCGCCGGCGGCTGGCGTACGCGATCCGCCACGGGCAGGTCGTCCCGCCGCGGGAGGAGAAGGCGGGAGCGCTGAGCGCCGCGGACCGCCCGGGGATCACCGCGGAGCAGGTGGCGCCGCGGCACGAGCACGGCGCCTCGCAGGGGGCGCCCGCGCAGCCCATCGCGATCGCGGCGCCGCGCAGGCAGCGGCAGGGGACGATCGCGGGGTCGATCGTGGACATCACCGGCGCGTCGCCGCACGGGGTGGGGGACCGCATCGCGTCCATGATGCGGCCGCAGGATGACTCGGACCTGTCGGACCCGCTGATCGACGAGGAGGAGGGCGACGTGGGGAGGGACGTGCAGATGCTGGACCGGCGGCGCGCGTCGGTGGACGACGGGGCGTGGGAGGACCCGTGGATGTCGGGGCGGGGGGCGCGGTCGGGGCACGGGCCGGACGGATCGCTGCACGAGGCGCGGGCGGAGGAGGAGCGACCGGTGCTGGCCGGGCAGGGGGCGGCCGTGCGCAGCAACGGGGAGCGCGCACGCGTGCATGTGCCCGGGGACACGTGGCAGCGGTGGGTGCTCGAGTGCGTGGTGTCGGTGGAGCAGCGCAAGGCGCTGCGGCAGCGATGGAGACATGCGATCGCGGTGCTGCTGGTGTACTGGGTGAGTGCTGGGGTGTGCGCATGCATGCATGGTGCGGGGCTGTGTGCGTGAACGCAGGGCGCGCGTGGCGCTGACGCGTGGAGCCGCTCGCTGCGATGCAGGTGACGCTCTCGATATTCCCTGGCTTCTTGGCCGAGGACTTGGAACCAGGTAGGCGGCCGGCGCCTGCATGGTGCATGAATGTTCACGCGGGGCCTCCGACCAACGCAGGACCTCGCGAGCGTGCGACTCCATCCGCGTCCCACTCGCGCACGTCCACGCAGGCTCGCTGGGGAGCTGGCTGCCGGTGGTGCTCATCACGGTGTTCAACGCGGCGGACCTCGTGGGGAAGATGATGCCCAACTTCGTGGGCGTGTGGCCCAAGGAGCCCTCGCTCCTGCTGCAGGCCTCGGTCGTCCGCGTCCTCTTCGTGCCCGTGTTCTACCTGGCCGGCCTGTTCCGCTCCGGGCCGCTGGAGCTCTGCGCGCTCACCGCGCTGCTAGGGGTCACCAATGGGCACATCTCGGCCGTGGCCATGATGCTCGCGCCCAAGGGCCTGCGTCCGGACAAGGCGGAGACCGTGGGGACCACGATCGTGATCTTCCTCCTCTCCGGCCTCTGCCTCGGGGCCTTCTCCGGCTGGCTCTGGCTCCTGTGACGGCTGCGAGTGCGAGTGTGCAGAAACGAGGACATCGTCCAAGGAGGGTCACTCGGTGCGTGCTCAGGAACATTGAAGGCCGTCCGGCCCGCCGCTGCAGTGCCCCCATTTTGGTTCACACTAGACACTCGAGAGGCCGCCTGCCCCCTGGCACGACGCGTGCGCCCCCCACGGGGCAGGGCGCGGCAGTCCGGACGGGCGCGGTGCTCGCCGTCCCTCGCGGCCCGCCGTCCCCGGTCTCGTCACGCGGCGCAGGAGGGCAGCACTGGCGGTGCGGCGTGCCCATCACTCGAAGAGCCTGAAGATCAGGCCGTCCTTGGTGAGCGCGACCAGGCTGGGCACGATCACGAGCGCCTCGACGGCCATGAGCTTCATGACGATGTTGAGGGCGGGGCCCGAGGTGTCCTTGAGCGGGTCGCCGACGGTGTCGCCGACGACGGCGGCCTTGTGGGCCTCGGAGCCCTTGCCGCCGAGGGCGCGCGCGGCCTCGCTGGCGCCGGCCTCGATGAACTTCTTGGAGTTGTCCCAGGCGCCGCCCGTGTTGGACATGGAGACGGCGAGCTGCACCGACGACACGAGCGAGCCGGCGAGCACGCCCGCGAGCGCCTGCACGCCGAAGAGGAGCCCGACGACGATGGGCGTGCCCATGACGAGCGCGCCGGGCGCAATCATCTGCGAGAGCGAGGCCATGGTGGAGATCTCCACGCAGGCCTTGTAGTCGGGGCGCGTGGTGCCGTCCATGAGGCCGGGCATCGTCGCGAACTGCCGGCGGACCTCCTCGACCATGGCGAGCGCGGCCATGCCGACCGACTTCATGGTCATGGCGGAGAACCAGTAGGGGATCATGGCGCCGACCAGCAGGCCCGGGAAGACCTTGGCGTTGAGGATCGACGTGTCCGTGAGGGTGAGGCCCGCGCGCGTGACGAACGCGCCGTACAGGGCGAGCGACACGAGCGCGGCCGACCCGATCGCGAAGCCCTTGCCGATGGCGGCGGTGGTGTTGCCCGCGGCGTCCAGCGCGTCGGTGCGCTCGCGGACGTCCTCGCCCATCTCGGCCATCTCGGCGATGCCGCCGGCGTTGTCGCTGATGGGCCCGTACGCGTCGATGGCCAGGCCCGTGGAGAGCGTGACGAGCATGCCCAGCGCGGCGCAGGCGATGCCAAACATCCCCGCGTAGAAGAAGCCGACGAAGATGGCGCTGGCGATCATGAGGCAGGGGAGGATGGCGCTCTTGTAGCCGAGCGCGAGGCCGAAGATGATGACGGTGGCGGCGCCCGTGCGGGAGGCGTCGGCCACGTCCTGGACGGGCTTGTAGGCGTTGCTGGTGAAGTACTCGGTCTGGATGCCGATGACGAGGCCGCCCCAGAGGCCGATGGCGACGCAGAGGAACATGTGCCAGTTCTTCACCTCCTGGGACATCTCGCCGAGGTAGATCGTGAAGGTCTCCGGGAGGCCGTACTGCGCGAGGAACCAGGCGCCCGGGGTGGCCAGGAGCGTCGACAGGATGAGCTGCACCTTGAGCGTGGGCTCGATCTGCGTGGTGTTCTGGGCCGGGAAGAGGTCCGTGGCGAGGAAGGTCGTGGCGACGCACACCACGATGCCCATGGCGGAGATCATCAGCGGGAAGCTCAGGCCGACGCGCGAGTGCTCCGTGCCGAGCGTGGACACCGAGGCCACGACGAGCGCGGCGCAGGTCGACTCGGCGAACGACCCGAAGAGGTCGCTGCCCATGCCGGCGATGTCGCCCACGTTGTCGCCCACGTTGTCGGCGATCACCGCGGGGTTGCGCGGGTCGTCCTCGGGGATGTCCTTCTCCACCTTGCCCACGAGGTCCGCGCCCACGTCCGCCGCCTTCGTGTAGATGCCGCCCGCGACGCGCCCGAACAGCGCCACCGACGACCCGCCCAGCCCGAAGCCCGTGACCGCCTCGTACAGGCCCTCCCAGTCCCCGCCGTACACCAGGTCGAACAGCGCGATGGTCAGGAACAGCGACAGCAGGCCGATGCCCGAGAGCAGGAAGCCCATCACCGCGCCCGAGCGGAACGCGCACATGAAGCCCTCCGCGACGCCCTTGCGCGCCTCGAGCGCCGTGCGGGCGTTGGCGTACGTGGCGATGCGCATGCCCAGGTAGCCGCACACCGCCGACGTGCCCGCGCCGATGATGAACGACAGCGCCGAGAAGAAGCCGTTGTACACCGCCGGACGCACCGGGTTGCCTGCGACCGGGGGGGGGGCGCGTGGGTCTCGGCGGCGTGTGTGAAAAGCTATGTGAAAAGCGCGGTGCGTCCGGGACGGGGGGCGCACCGTCGTCGTCCGTGGTCCAGGAGAGGTTGAAGCCGTCCTCGGAGGACAGCAGGACTGCGATGAAGACCGAGAAGCACGTCTGCGGGGCAGCGGAAGGCGGGCGGGAAAGTTGGGGAGGCTGGTCGCGCGGGGCCCGTCCGTGCCGCCCCCGGCGAGAGGCAGCGAGGCCGGGCGGTACACATTTGAGTCATGCATGCGCAAGCAGTCGCCGGAATCGCGCGGTGTGGCGCTGCGACCGCGCGCGGGAGGGCGCACGCCAACGAACTCGCCGTCCCGTGTTGCCGGGGTCGTGGGGCAGCGGCGCAGGCGGCGGAAGCGGACAGGGGGTCATGGAAGCCGGACCGGGAGATCCGCGGAGGGGCGCGGGCCGCGCAGACCCTGGCGGGCCGTGAAATCGAACGCACGGGGGCGAGGGATACCCGCCGGCGCCCGGAGCGACGCGGATGGGAGGGACGCTGCGAAGCGCGACGCCTTCCCGCGCGAATCGCATCGCACCGACCGCGTCGCAGGAGGGGCCGTTTATGCGTCCGCACGCGCGGTTCCGCGGGCCAACAGACACTCAAGTGGGAGGCCACGGACGGCGCGCGCGAGCGGCTGCTTCGCGGGCGCTGGGCGCGATGCTCACCATGAAGATGCCGACGTACTTGTACTCGGTGCGCAGGAAGGACTCGGCGCCCTCCGAGATGGCGTCCTGGATGACCGCGCTGCGCTCCACCACCACGCTGTCGTCCTCGCCAGCGCTCTCGAGCAGGCCCTGGCGGTCCGCGGACCCGCCTGCGCGGAGCGGAGACGCGGAGGGGCGCGCGCGGGGTCGGGCGGGCCGCGAGGCCGCGCGGGCGCCTCGCGCGGGACGGGCGCCACAGTCGGTTAGTTGGTGCTGGCACGAACGAGGCGCCAGCATGCGCGATCCGCGCGAGGGCGCGGCCGCCTCGGCGCCCAGGCGATCCTGGCGCGCTCCCCAGTTCGTGCACGTGCCGGGGCGGCCGCGAGGGGCCGCGATGCGCGCCGGGGCGACGCGGGGACGCGCGGGGTGGGTCCAGGTGCTCATGGCGCGTGGGTGCGGCGCGAGGGAGGGCATGGATCGGGCGACGCACCGTTGACGGTGTGGCCGCGCACGGGGATCAGGCTGACGCGCCACCAGAGCCAGACGGCGAACACGATGCCGAGGATGGCGGCACCCGGGATCAAGACCCCAGGCACCCACGCCGCCATGGCAGCCTGCGAGCAGCGAGCACTGGTGGGCGCCCTTTGAAGCCCCGAATGTAACGGGCGAGGCCGGGCAGGCAGACGTGCGGCGCTCGCCGCCACGCGCCGGCCCGCGGCGAAACCGCTCCCGCCATCGAGGCAATGCATTGCGCGGCGGCGGAACCGCGAGCGTCCGGGCGTGGTTACGGTCGCAACGAGCGGCAAATCACCACCACGCGCGGAAGGAGGACGAGGAGCGCGAGCATCGAGCGCTGGCTGGGCGCGCACCACGTCGGGAGCCGACGGCGGGGAGGGCGGAGAAGGGTCCGACATGGTTGGTCTATCCTACAGGCGGGGTATCCCACAGACCCAGGAAGTGGCGGGGTGCCGCTGTCGACGCGGCGCTCGAGCCGCGCGCGCGCAGGGCCGCCGGAGTGTGGGCCTGTCCTCAGCCCCCTGAGGGCCTATCTGGGCGCGACGGGGAGGCCGCGCCCGGTGGCGCGATGCGCGACGGTGGACGCGCCCGTGACGGGGAACGCTCATGTGCCTGCAGCGCCCGCGTTTTGTGCAGCCGCAGCCGGGCGCCCGCACCCGCTAGGTGGTTAGTCGCCGGCACCTGACTGCGATCTTTCGGGGCCCCGCGGCACGTATCTCTCGCGGGGTGGGCGCGACCCGCGCCTGTCGTGTTCTGCGCGCCGCTGCCGCCGCGTGCGCCCCCGCAGTGCCCCTCCACGCGCGCGGCGGGCCTGGCACAATCCCGCAACGATGCGACGCGCCCCCGCCGCGGGACGCGCAGCGTTCAGCGGGCGCCGCGCGGAGCCCCGCGCGGCCGCGGTCCGTCGCGGCGGTCGCGGCGGCGGCGCTTGACGGCGTTGGTTGAGCGCCGCAGCCATCCTCGCGCTGCTGGCCCCTCGGCACGCGCCCAGCGCGGTCAGGATCACACGGCGACGCCGGCGCGGTTCCTAGATGTAGCGCGCGTGGCCGTTGCCCGTGCCGCTCTGCGGGCGCGACCCTCCGAACATCGTGCCGCTGCGCTGCTGCCCAGTGCCCGCCTCCGCCACCCAGTCCCGCAGCGTGCTGTGCCACTTGCGCACCGGCCGCTGGGCGCCGGACGGCCCGTTCTTCGCCGCCTGCTGCACCGGCGCGCCGGGCGTCGTCACCCCGCGGCCCCACGTCGAGTTCATGCTGCGGTGCTGCGCCAGCCCCGCGGCCGACGCAGCGCCCCTGAAGGCGACGTCCGCCGGGGCGTCGTCGGGGAGCGGTCGAGCGGGGGGCCGGGAATCGTAGCGCGATCCCGCGGGCGCGTCCGCCGCCGGCGCCGGATCCGCCGCGGGCGGCGCTGGTGTTGCGGGTGCCGGCACGGCCTCCGGCGCGGGCCTCGACGGCTCTGCCGCCGCTCGGTCGGTTGCGGCTGTGGGCGTCGCCTGCCCCGCCTCGCGCTCGGCGGCAGGCGCGCCGTTCAAACTCTCGGCATCGCCCATGTCCGCCGCGTGCGCGCTCTCGGCCGCCGCGACCGCCGATCGGTACGCCTGCGCGACCACTTCTTCCGCCGAGGGCGCTGCGGCGACCGTCTGCTTGGACCGCGCGCCCACGGGCGGGTCCTCGAGCACCTCCACTTCCTCGACAGACAACAGGAGGCCGTCCAGCGTCGGCACGACCTGCACGGCGGCGACGATGGGGGCGTGAGAGCGTCGATCAGACCGCGCGCGATCGCCGCGGCCGCGGCGGGTCCACGGAGAGCCGCGGGGCACATGCATGCGCGGGGGCCACGCACCCGGATCGCCTCCGTCCCTGACCGCTTCGACTTGCGTTCGACGAGGACGACGTGCATGCAGAGCGTCGCGACCTTGGTTCGGTACGCCCGCAGGTCGAGGGCCAGGTTCTGCACGGGGTTGCCCTCCAGGACGAGGTGCTGCAGCCCGCGCAGGGCCTTGAGGGCGCCGAGGCCGTCCCAGGCGTCGATCATGTTGTGCGCCACGTCGAGGGATCGCAGGTTGGGCGGGAGGCACAGCGCGTGGCCGCCCTGGTCGCCCCTCGCCAGGCTGGAGATGGTGTTGCTTGCCACGCGCAGGTGCAGCAGGTTGGCCAGCCCGGCGAGGTTCGGGAGGCCTTCGAGGAGGTTCCGCGAGACGTCGAGGACCATGAGCGAGGCCGGCAGGGGCGGCAGCCACTCCCCCGGCGTCGCGTACCCGGGGCTGTTGGGCAGCTGCGTCAGGTGGTTGGCGCGCAGGTCCAGGTGCTCGAGCCGCGACAGCTCCGACACCTCCCGCGGCCACACGCTGAGGGCGTTGTGCGACAGGTCCAGCGAGACGAGCGTCGCGGCCACCTCGGCCAGCCCCGGCACCGCCTCGATGCGGTTGTGCGACAGGTCCAGCACCGCCAGGTGCGGGAGCCCGACCGTGGCCTGCGGCGGGAGCGCCGTGATGCGGTTGTGCCTGCGGGGCAACGCGGACACAGGCGCGGCGTGGTGGCGGTGCTTGCGCGGAGCGGCGCGTGCGGGCCCGCGCGTGCTTGCTCCTTGCGGGGCGCACCGGTAGGTGAGGTAGCGCAGGTCCTCCTCGAGCTCGACGCCGCAGCAGCTGTCCAGGCCGGCGTGGGACAGGTGCAGGGCGTAGGGCTGCCGCCCGCGCAGCGCCTGCGACCGCCGCGCGAGCAGCATGCCCGGCAGCAGACGGCCTTCCCTGCACACACACACGCCGTCGCGCGGGGCTGGCGCTTGTGAGGACCGCGGGGGGCGCAGCGCGGGGGGCATGCGCATGCGCATCGCTGCGGCGTCCGTCGGGGTGCGCGCGCACCTGACTTCCCTGCTACCGTCCCCCACCCGCGTCAAGAAGAGCCCCGCGCGCACCTCGGCCACCTGACGGAGCACGGGGGGGCGCGCGCCGGGGCCGAGCGTCGAGTCGTCGACCGACAGCGGCTCGCCCTCGTACAGCTCCGGCACAGCGGACTCCCCGCCCCTGGTCTCGTACCCCGACGGCTTGTACCGCAGGAACTGCGACGTGTCCTCCAGCCCCCGCCGCACCACCTCCACCGGCCCCGCCCCGCTCTCCACCACGTCGTCCGCCGCGTGCGCGCGCCGCGACGACAGCGCCCCGTTCGCGCGCTGCGTCGCCGGCTCGTTCAGCCCCCCGCGCCCCGCCCGCTCCACGGCCAGCGGCGGCACTGTCGGCCGCTCTGGGCCAGGCGCGTCCGCGTCCTCCGCCGCGCCGCCCCCGGAGCTCCGGCCCTCCGCGGTCGCCTCCGCGGACGCGCGCTCCGCCGCCCCCGCGCCGCCGCCGCGCCCCGCCGAGCGGCCCACCGAGCTGGACGTGCGCCGCACCCTGCCCGAGGGCGACTTGTCCTTGTTGCCGGGGGTCCCGGGCCGGCTCGTCGCGGACGAGTCCCTGCAGACAGTCGCGGGAACGGCGAGCGCGAGGGGGTTCGGGTGGCGTCCGCGTGCGGCCCCACCGCGTGCTTGCGCGAGCAAGCAGGGCGATGTCGTACCTGCGCACGGTGCCCGACACCAGGCTCTCGAGGGGCAGCGAGCCCCCGTCGATGTTGAACGTCGACGGGGCGCGCCCGGGCGACGGGGGCAGCCCCGGCCCGAGCCCGCCCGCGATCCCCGCGTCGGAGACCGCCCTCCCTTGCTCCGGCAGCACCACGCTCGCATCCGGCCGCGCGATGCGGATCTCCAGCCGACCCGCGGACTGCTCCGCGCTGATCGCTCGTGCAAGCGGTGGGGCCTCGTCGCTCGCGGGCGCAGGCGCCGCCGGGGCGCCGTCCTCCGCGGCCGCCAGACGGTGCGGCGCAGCCTCGGCGGGCTGCTGCGCCAGTCCGGCGAGCGACGCGACCGCGGGACGATGCAGCGGGTCGCCCTCGGGGCGGCCGCTGCCCGTCAGACTCCGCACCGCGGAGGTGAGCACCTGCGCGTGTAGCCGCGCGGCCGCTGAGGGTGCGGGTTCTGCGGGACTGGGCGCGGCTCCCGGGGCGGTGCTCCTCGCTGGCGGCCCCGCGTCGATGCGACGATCGTTTGTCGGGTGGGAGACGTCCTCCCGCGCCTGCTCCCGGGCGGCGGCCAGCGGCGGTGCGTTGGCGGCCTCGCGCGTCGCCTCGCGCAGTTGCGTCGAGTTCTCGACGACGTGCAGCGCGCCCGCGCCGCCCGAGGACGCCGCAGTCTTCGCGCTGCCGTGGTGCGCGGACACCAGCGCCTTGCGGGCCGAGCTCGGGCGGCTCCTGTCGGTGTGCGGCTGCATGGCGGGCGCGGTGCCCGACACGCCGAAGCTGTTCACGCCCGGGCGGCCGCTGCCGCGATCCGACCACACCTGGCGCGAGCCGTCCGTCGGCTGCGAGGGCGGCGCGGGGTTCCCGGCCCGGTCGGGCGCGGGGCCCTGGTGCGCGAAGATCGTCATCGTCGACGCGTAGCTCGGGCGGTGGGACAGGCTGCGCACGAGCGGGCCCTGCGTGGCGTCCGCGTACCGCCTCGACGACGCGTCGTGGCCCTGGGCCCGGGGCGTGCTCCGGTCCGCGGCGGACGTGCTGGGAGCGTGCTGCACCTCTGGCGCCTGCTGCGCGCGCCTCCGTTCGTCGCCCGCTCGCCGCCCTGCACCGGGGGTCCGCCGCCGATGGGCTCGGGTCGGCGCGGCAGTTTCATCCACGCGATCGAGACGCAGTCGCCGCGGGCAGTGCGCGGCGGGACGCAGCGCGGCGCGGGGCCACTTGCCTGCCGCCGACGCGTCCAGTTCCCTGCGAAGGGTGCTCGCGGACATCGCGTCGGCCGAGTCGGCGACGACGTCCCGGGCCGAGCGCGGTCGGCGCCCCAGCAGGCTCGCGTGCGCGGAGAGCGGCACCGCTGCCCAGGCATCCTCGCGCCCTCGCTCGCCCGCCGCGGGAGCGCGCAGGCCCAGGCCGCCGTTTCTGCTGGAGCTTCGGCGATTCAGCGAGCTCGCCCGGTCGGCGGTTGCCGGCCGCGCCTGCGCCTTCGCGGGTTCGCCCGTGATGCTCAGCCCTGCCAGCGTGTCACTGTCGCGGCGCAGCCGCCTGCCGTTGCCATGCCAGCTCATGCTGCCGCCCGCAGTCGCCGACTACCGATCTAAGGGGCGAGGCTGTCCGCATCTAGGGCGCGTCGGGGCTCCCCCGCGCCGCGCATGCTGACTTGCACAGGGCGTCTGATTTGCAGCACGTCTGCGGCCCACCAGCGCCGGCCCCTCCAGCTCGGCCGACAGAGATGTGCAACCACTACCTAGCTTGGGAGAGGGCAATGCGTGAGCGGGTCCAGCGCGCTCCTCGGGCGACCAGGGTCTTGGTAGCAGAGGCCAAGTTTTGACAGGGCACGTGCCGCGGCGATCCACCCTGGGCGCGCGCTCGATCGAACGTGTGCAGCGCGGGGTAGTGCGGGAGTGTGGCTTGGCCTCGCGCGGCGCGACGCACAAGTGGCGCCCCGCAGTCGGCGAGGACAGGGCGGCAGTCTCACGCGTGGGGTGCAACACGTCAGGCCGGGGACCCGAGTCAGGCCGCACGTCCCGGACGGTGCGCGGCGCCGGGCGCAAGGCCTGCCGGGACGCGCAGCTCCCGGCAACGCGTGTGTTCCAGGGGCCCGTGAGGTGTTTGCGGCAACGTGTGAGCGACGCCACTGTCGGACAGGGTCCGCTGCCAGTCTCCGCGCACGAGGTGATCCGGTTGTCCGACACGGCAAGACTCGCGAGTCTGACGGAGCCTCGTTGCATCGGTCGCGGCGAGACGTCTGTCGCGCGCTGCCACGGGCGAGCGGCCCTTGCCTCCCATCAGGTGGGGCTGGCTCCCGCGCTGGGCTGCGTACGGTGGTGAGGGCGGCGCGATGTCCAGATACGGCGTGATGGAATGCAACAAGATAGTGCTGCGCTACAGCAGGCAGGGCGGCAGCAGCAAGGGCGTGCGGGAGTTCCTGCAGCTGGGCCTCGAGGCCTACCGGGAACGGTTCCCGGACGTGCCGATCGAGACCAAGGAGGTCAATCACATGGCAGTGCATCCGACGGCGTCCGCGGACTACCGTGAGCCCCCACGAGCACCGCGCTGCCGCGCACCCTGCGCCACGCCCGCCGCGCCCCCGCACGCGCACGCACGCAGACCGCCAGGCGCGCGTGGAGGCGAAGCACGGACGTCAGCGAATCGACCTCCTCCGTGTCCCACGTCCGCTGCAGGGAACGGTCGCAAGCAGGTGATCAGCCTGCGGAACAACTCGGTCGCCGAGGTGGTGCAGCACGTCTACTTCCTCAGGTCCACGTGGGGCAACCGCGTGCAGGGCGTCGGCGTCTCGCGGTCGTCCTTCTTCGCAGGTGCGCCGCCCACCGGCGCGCAGCCCCGCCCCCCGCGCCGCCGTCGCACAGCGCCGCAGCCACCTGCGCCACCGCCCGGCGGGGCGCGGCCGCCCGCGAGGCGCGACGCTCCGCGGACGCGGCTGTGTGCTGTGCGCGCGCCACCGTCCGCGCGGCGCCCGTTGCGCGCAGGCGTCAAGAAGCGCGTCCACAGCGAGAACAAGTCGATCCAGGGGCAGTGGACGCCCGACACGTTCCAGGAGTGGCACCGGCCGTAGGCGGCCGCGCGGGGCGGCAGGGCGGCCGCGCGGGGCGGGTCCCGGCCGAGCCCTTGGTGAGACGAGGCCACGAGTCGGTGAGGCGTGTGAGTCGGTGCGCTGTCTGGTTTACATGCTGCCGTGCGCTGCGAGCAGGCCGCTGACCGAGCGTAGCAGCCCGATCGCGGAGCCGAGCAGGGTTCGCCTGCTCTTGCGTGCCTTGGTGATGCCGCCTGTCGCGCGAGTCGTGCGCCGGCCGCCGAGGGTGCGGATCGGCTCGCCCCAGTCGGCGTACTGTGTCGAGAACCGCCGGTCCTGCGCGCAGCGGGGCCAGGTGGATCGCCGTGAGCACGAGGCGCCGTCGGGGGGGCAACTCGGCCACTGGCACTTGGCGAGACGCTGGGACACCCACCTGCTTCGCTTGCGTGCCCTTGGGCTGGTAGAACTGCGGAGGTGGCTTCATGTGGGCACCCACCACGTTGACGCCCGCCTTGACGCGCCCGCCCTGCACCTGCACGCGCGCCCCCGACCTGTTGGCCGCCCCCGTGCAACGCTTCGCGGACTTCCTCGCTTTCCTGCGACCGGGAGGAGCGGGGACTGCGGCGTGAGGTGCGCACGGCGAGCGCTGCGCGGCGGATCGTCGTTCCGGGCGCGTGTCGTGTCGTGTCGTGTCGTGCGTGTCGTTCGCGGCGCACTCACTTGGCGGCGGGCTCCCGGGCCTTGGCGTCCTCCTCGTCCTCGCTCTCGTCGTCCTCGTCCTCGCTGTCGCTCTCGTCGTCGGAGCTGCTGATCCACTCGTAGTCCGGCGGGCAGTGCTCCCGGAAGAGGTTCATGTCGATGCGCACGCCGTCGTCGCGGCACTCGCAGCGCACGCTCTCCTTGCCGACCGGGATCCACTCCGGCAGCGCGAAGTTCACGGCCTCGGCCACGTTGAGGCCGGTGTTGAACCCGGCGTGGTACGCGGCGGCGTTGATGACCATGAACTCGCCCTGGTGCTGCTTGCCGGCGACGAACTTGACGTTCATCGACCGCAGCTGGGCCGGCGACACCATGATGTTCTTGTGCCGCGTGAAGGCGCGGCACTGCGCGTAGTCCTCGGGGAACGTGTGCCGCAGCGCCTCCTCGAACCGCGACTTCTCCGAGGGGGGGATGCCGTACCACATCTTGGGCTCCCCCAGGTGGATGTAGTTGATCGAGTACAGGTCGCAGTCCTCCACGTGCCACTGCGGGGTGGGCGCGGCGCGGCGCGGGGCGGGTGGGCGCGGCGCGGGGGGCGGTGGCGGCGCGTCGGCGGTGCGGGACCAGCACGGACGGCGCTGAGGGGCCGGAGGGGGCGTACCGCGAAGAAGGACTTCCACATCCCCCAGTAGACCATCGGCGACGTCACGCCGGGGATGGCGGGCACCTTGCACTTGGACAGCAGGCAGCCATCGAGCTTCTGCAGGTTCCACCCGCGCTTGAGGTCGCTGTCGAAGTACGACGACGGCGTGTCGGCGCCGTACAGGGGAGGGATCGTCGACAGGGAGCTCCAGAACGCGCGCTCGATCGCAGCGTCGGTCTTCTCCTCCTGCGCGGGGCGGGGGTGCACGCGCGGGGTCAACCATCAACGCCCGCAGCTCTGGCGTCGGGCCGCCCGCGAGCCCCGCGACCGGACCGGACGGGTCTCCGCGGCGTACCTGTGCCTTCCGCGGGAGCTTGTGGTCTTCTGAGAGCGCGATGGCCTTGAATTCCTCGGCCGTCATTCCCTTGGCCTCCATCATCATGCACTGCGCGGGGAACGGGGCCACGGCGCGCGTGGTGGGCCCTCGCGGTCTCGCAACAGGCTATCCCGCGCGTGGGCGCCCGGCGAGCCCGCTCCCGCCGCGCCGCGAGGGCCCGGGCGGCCCGGGCGGGCGACCCTATGGTGGAGGCGCGGCGGTGAGGTAAGACCGCACGGGCGCCGCGCGGGGGCTCGAGGCGGGCGGAGGCGCCGCGGACGGGTGCTCCGCGGCGCCCTCTACGCAATCTGTGCGGATCGCGCGGTGCGGCGGCCCCCTCACCTTGAACATGCCCTTCTGCCCAAAGGCTATCTGCTTGATGGGCGTCGGGATGTGGACCGTCTTCAGGTCGGGGAAGCTCTCCGACCGCGGCGACCACGACTTGGGCGGCACGACCCTGAACATGGCCAGGTCGGGATTCTTCCTGAAGATGTTGCCGACATACTGGGCGAACGGCTTGTTCCACTCGGCCTCAGTGGGGCGGTACGCAGGGATCTCCCCCGGTGTTCCGACCATCCTCGGCGCCGACTTCGCGAGGCAAGCTACACACGGGGGCCGTGACGGCCGCCACGAGCGGCGAGGACGGGCGAGGAGAGCGCTTTTCCCCCTCTGCTCCCGAAACCTCCGCCACCCGTCTCAGGAGCCCGCGACGGGCCGCGCCGAGCCCGCGCGGCGAACGAAAGAACTGACCGCGCGCGTGCCCCCTATGGGACGGCGGCGGAACACCCACCGGTGGCGCAAAAGCGCTGAGCTGTCCACGTCGGAGGGTCGAGGCGCAGGCGCGGGGGGACCTGTCGTGCGCGGGCCGCCACAGGAGCTGGATGTGGCCGTTCTGCGTGCCCCCCGCGGTCCCTTGCGCTCGCCCGGGCCCGCGCCACGGCGCACGCACGAGGCCCCTGACTGAGTCGGACTGGCCTCGGGCGCGCCCGCACTCCAAGAGTTCGCACCGCCGGGCCTTCCGTCTTCACGGATCACGGCGTCGCACGCCTCCGCACGGCCACGGCGGATCGGGCAGGTGCGTTCGCGAACTTTCGGGCCGCTGCTTTTCGCGTGCCCCGTCGCGCGCGCGGGCCGCCTCCTGGCCAGCCAGGACGGCGTTGACACGGAGAACTCGTCGCTCCCGGCGCGTTCGTCGCGCGGGCGCGCCGCGTCGTGGGGCCACGGCACCGCCGTCAGGCACCGTGCTCAGTCCATGTCATTTCGGCCGTCAGGTTCCACGACGCCCCGTGCTGCGCGGACGCGGGGTCCGGCGCCGCGGACGGCCTCGTGTCCCTCGCTGTCGTCGTGGCCCGGCCCGGCCGGCCGCCCGGCCCGCCTGGCGTCGACGAACGCCCCCCAAGTGCACCTCGATGCTTCCCCCCCTCGTGCGAGCAGGCCACCGCGCGGAACGCGCTCCCATCACGGCGCACCTGGGCGACGTCTTGGCCAGGACGTTCGGGCACCGGCTGATCTTGGCGTAGCGTGCCGCTGGAGGGCCTGCGCGGCCACCAGAGCCTGAGCACAGCTTCTCTTGGGCGGGGCGCAGGGCTGCTGGGGCAGATGGCGGACCAGGGCGAGCAGCCTGGGCTCCCCCAGGGCGGGGAGGGCGAGGCTGGCAGCAAGCGACCCCGGGAGGACGGCGCGGACGCAGAGGACGTGCCTCCGCCCAAGACGGTGCGCGTCGCCCCCCGCAGAGCCGTCACCCGCGCTTCTCGGCGCCGCGCGACCCGCCGACGCGCACGTGCTGGCGTCGAGGATCGGCCAGGGGCGGATTCCACGCGGTCCGCCGTGCGCTGGCGCTCCGACCCGCCCGCCTCAACCGCCGCGGAAAGCCGGTAGTATTAGCCGACCCTGGCCGCGCCCCGTGCCCCCGCGCAGTTCGCGACCGTGGGCGACGCGCAGAACCTCCAGGCGCTGTCCGCGGGCGCGATCAACCCGTTCGGCATGATGAACCCCATGATGGGCATGAACCCCGCGCTCCTGGGCATGCCGCAGTCCAACCCCTACCAGATGAACAGCAGCGCGCCCGCGCAGAGCCGCGGATACAACGGCAACAGGTGCGCCGCGCAAACGCCCTCCCCGCTCGCTCGCGCGCCCGCGCGGCCCGCCCGCGGCGCCTTGCTGTTGTCGCCGCCCCGGCCGACGCGCGCCCGCGCGCGGTGCGCCGGACTGCAGGTCTTCGCAGGCGGCGTCGCAGCCGGACGACGACCTGGCGCGGCGCCGCGCGCAGAACCGCAAGTGGGCGCAGGCGAGTCGGCAGCGCAAGAAGGAGAAGATGGGGATGCTGGAGAAGCAGGTCAAGGAGCAGCAGGAGCTGATCGACACGCTCAAGGAGGAGTACGACCGCCTGGGGAAGGAGGTCGGCGTCCTGCGCGCCGTCGTCGGGCTGATGGCGCAGAAGGCGGACGTCAAGCTGGAGGCGGGGGCGCTGTCGGACCTGCTGAGCGCCTCGCCCGTGGCGGCGGCGGCGGGCGTCACGCAGGCGACGCTCGCGGAGTACATCGAGTCCGTCGTCATGACGCTCAACGGCGAGGCCGGCCCGCCCACCGCCAGCGCGTTTGGGGACGGCGGCGCGGGGGGCGCCAGCGACGCGGCGCCGGCGCCGGCCTCGGTGCCCGGGATGGCGACGTCCGGCCCGATGGGCGCGGGGGCGCCGCCGATGAGCTACGGGTTCTCGGGGGCCGGCATGAACCCGTTTTCGCTCCCGGGCATGACCCCCGGGGCGTCCATGGGGATGAGCATGCCCGCGCTGATGAACATGCAAGGTGCGCCCGCCGCCGCCGCGGCCCGCAACGCGTCGCCCGCGTCGCTGCCGCGACGTGCCGCGCCTCTCGTGCACCGCGCGTCGCTGCCTCGCAGGCTCGAGACAACCCGCGCACCCGCTCCGTGGCACGACGCAGGTCTGGACCCGGCGGCGATGCGGATGCAGATGCAGATGCTGCAGGCGACCGCCGGCGCCGGCTTGTTCGGACAGGGGTTCCCCGGCGTGCCCCCCATGGCGGGGCAGGGCGACGACCAGGGAGGCGGCGAGGCGGTGGACGCTGCGCAGGGCACCCTCAACCCGATGCACGGGCTCGCAGAGCAGGCCGCGGCGGCCGACGCGTCCGTCGACCCCGGCGCGGGAGAAGTCAAGACGGAGGACGGCTAGGCGGCACCGCGCAAGCGTGTTGACCTGCACTCCTGTGAGCTTCCACAGCGCCCGCGGTGGCCCCGTGAGCTCCCAGCCAGCCCCGAGGCCTCGCTGCTGCTGCCTGTGCCGCGGGCAGCACGCGTCGTGCTTCGGCGCAGGCACCGAGGCCGCACCGCATGCCTGCCGCTGGTGAGCGCGAGACCGGGGGACAGGGCGCGACCGTCACGCCCTGCGTCGAAGGGACGCGCGCTCGTCGCCCGCCCACCGCACGCGGCGCGGCGCCGCTCGCCCGATCCGCCTCCTCCTCCTTTCAGGGGGGGGGGGTGTGTCGCAGTGACGACCCCCGGCGGCCCGCGTCCGGCCCGGCGTCATGGGCGCCGCGTTCGCCGGTCGCACAGCTCGTGCTGAGTGCGCGCGGGATCGAGTTTCGTCGCACTTCTCCCTCGCGGTGCGTGAGACTGCTGGTCGTGTGTCGCGCAGAGGACGCGGTGCGGTGCTACCCGCGGGGGGCGCGCGGGGCGAGCTGTCCGCGCGCTGCGGTGAGAACCAGTAGAGAGGGGGGGGCGCGATAGACCAGGCGGCCATGCGCGCGAGCATAGCGTTGGTGCTGCTGCTCGTGGCCTGCGTGCTGGAGGGCATCCTGGCCCGCTCGTGCCAGGACGTGCCGCTCCCGGGGCTCGCGTGCGCCCCGGCAGGACACGAGTACGTCGTGGGTACAGGGGACCAGTCGGTGCGGGCCTTCAGCTCCACAGCGGGTGAGTGGAGCGGGCCGCGTGCGCGGCCGCGGAGCGCCCACCTCACACCTGGCCTACACGGCGCCGACCTGCGCCCCGCAATTCGTGTCCGGCACACCTCGATGACAGCGCGATAGGACGGTCGTTCCGTGTCCTTCGCCGCTCGATCCGGCGCCGGTGCCGGCGGCAACGCCACGCGTGCCTTGCCAGCAACTCCTCAGGGCAGGGCGCGCAGCTTCCGGGCGCCCAGCGGCGCACTGCGCCATCAGGACAGAGCCACCGCTGCATGAACCTTCGCGCTGGTGCATGGTTTCGGGATCCCAGATCCTCCCGCGCTCCCGCGGGCCGTCCAGTTCCTGACCATCAGATAATGCAGCGCCCTCGGTAGAGACGGGCAAGAAGAGCCCTCTCGCCATCTCCTTGGCCTACTCGCTTGTCGAACCATGCACTGCGGGTGTCCGGCCGCCCTCGTCCGGCCGGTCGGCGCGCCGCGCACGCGAACCCTGCCCCCTGGTCAAAGCGCTGCCACGGGCGGCACCCCGCGTCGCCGAGGCACACACCGCGCCGAACACGAACCTCATAGTGCTCTGCGCTGCAGGAGATGGCGCTGCTGAGCCGATGAACCGCTGGAGCGTCCTCCTGGACATGCAGACGGCCACCACGGAGGCCCAGCGCTTCTGTGCGGAGGTCGGCGAGAAGGGCCTGGTGGAGGCGTGCGAATACGTCGGCCTGACGTTCATGACGATGCAGGCCACGGCGTCCCAGCTGTACGCGGTGCGCAGTCTGTGCCCCCCGTGCTCCCGCCGCACAGGCTCCATACACCCTGCGAGGCCACGCGCGGTCGCGCGCCCCGGGGTGCAGCCGTTGACGTGACGAGCGGATGATTCCCTCTCCACCACGCAGGTCTGGGAGGAGTACCCGGGAGTTATGGAGGCGGCGCTGGTCGAGCAGGCGCACACTGCCATGCACAGCCGTGTGTGGAGGTTGTTTGGGGAGGAGGACGTGCGGGCGGAGGCGGGGGAGGGCGGTGGGGGAGGGACGGACGCGCGTCGCGGCCTCTCGCTGTCGGGACAGTCCTGTCAGGGCACCTCGGTGAGTTTCGAGGGCACGCAATCTGTCGTGCACTGCTGCTGCTTGCAGCGACGCGCGAGGTGGCCACGGGTCCGTGACACGTGCGGTGTGCTTGCCGCTCCGCTGCGCCGCAGAACGCGGCCGGCCAGGTGTTGGCGTGGAACAAGGACAGCGTGGACAACCCGACTGGCGCGCGGGACAGGTGCTACACGACCAAGTTCGACGGCACTGCAGTCGCCGGATTCGTCGTGGACGAGCAGGTGTGCTGCGCGGATCGGCGTGCCCGCTCGCACGCTCGCGACGCCCGGGGGTCGCGTCGGCCTCACGCGCCCAGGCGGCGCGTCTGTGTTGCAGGTGCGGATCGGGCACGTGGAGTTCCAGGGCAGGGCGACGGAGTTCACGACCTCTCCGTCCGTGACCGAGCGGAACGGCCAGAATGGCCAGACGCACGGCACGCACGTCGCCGGCATCATGGGCGGGCGGGACTTTGGATTTGCCACGAGTGAGTCGGCCCCCGCCACGAGTGAGACGACCGAACCGCGACTCTGGAAGTCGGTCAGCGGCAACTGAAACGCCGACGAGCACATGACGCCCCCTCCCTCCCCCCCCACCCCCCGCGCAGAGCTGGACGTGTTTGGGTGCACGGTGAGCCAGCAGTTCACGCAGAACGGCCAGACCGTCGTCGTGCTGGACTCCTCGCTGATCAACGCCGCGCTGATCAAGATCGCGGCCGAGGGCCGGCGTCCGGCGGTGGTGAACCTCTCGATCGGCGACATCTTCTACTCGTACAGCGTCTTCTCCACCACCATCGACCACATCCTGCACGACCTCGGCGTGCTGGTCGTGCGCGCGTCCGGCAACGAGAGGTCGCTCGCGCATCTCATCCAGCCTGGGCACTCGCAGCGGTGCGTCGCGCCCGTGCCGCGTCATGTGCAGAGCAGCTCCTTGCAGACCCGCTGTCCGCACGCAGCGCAAGACGCGCGCTCGCTCGCTCCCGACCGGACCCGCTGCGCTGCGTCAAGATGCTGCGTGCAGGGCGCTGCAAGTCGCTGCTGCGACGGAGTCCAGCTCCACCGTGGACGGCGCGTACGAGTACACGAACTTCGGCCACACCGTCGACATCTTCGCCCCCGGTGGCGGCAGCGGCAAGGCCGTTCTCGCGGCGGGAGCATCGTCGGACACGGCGGTGGCGCAACTCGCCGGAACTTCGATGGCGGCGCCGGCGGGTACGTGAACGTTTCCTGGTGCCTGGTGTCTCTCCAGTCCGCCGCACGGCGCCGGACCCCGCCCGGACGTTCCCCGCGGCGCACGCTCAGACTCATCTCATCCGCGTCGGTGCCCCGCGCAGTTGCCGCCGTGGCGGCGCTGTACCTGCAGCACTCGCCGAACACCAACGTCGACGCGCTGCACAGGATCGTCGAGCTCGCGGCCAGCTCCGTCATCACGTCCCACCGGACCCTCGGTGAGAACTCCTACTCCTACAAGACGTGGACGAACAAGTACCTGCAGACGTCGGGCATCGAGAAGGCCAGTCTGCTGTACACAAACGTCACCGGCGTCAACGTCACCGCGGACAACTCCACGCACGCGTACGCGCCCCCGCAGCCTGTCACCTGCCGCGGCCCGAGACTGAGACCGCGCCTCGGCCGCTGCTTGTCGCAGCGACCCGACCTTGGCTCCGTCGGCGGCGCACCTCTGCTGCAGGTTCGAGCTCTACCTGCGGCAGCAGCCCAACGCAACGGTCACCGTCACGCTGTCGTCCTCCCACCCGGAGCACCTCACGGTGTCGCCCAGCACGCTGACCTTCGCGGCGGGGTCGACCGCGTCGCCGAGCAACTCGCAGACGGTGACGGTGCGCACCAGTCCGTTCGGCGCCATCCTCCCCGTGACGTGGGTCGACGTGACGGTCTCGAGCTCCGACACCGACTTCGACGGCGCCGTCCACGCGGTCGCCTTCATGTACCGCAACGGCACGATCCGCGGCACCACCGCGTCCAACCCCATGACCATCACCGACATGGGCAGCCCCAACAAGCCCAGCGAGATCTGGTGAGCGACCCCGCCGCTCGCGCTCGTGCCGCGCCCAGGTGCTGCGCTGTGCTCTGTACGTCGTTCGAAGGTGGCGCGACCGCGGCGCTGGGCCGCCCCCGCGTCCCGCAGGTACGACCTGAACGAGATCAACGCCATTCGCACGATGGACCACACGGGGCAGCTGGCGCTCACGAGGTGGGGCCAGAGCGCGGTCAGGATCGACGGCATTCCGCCTTTCGCGTGGGCGCCGTTCACCTGCGAGGGCGCCGGGGGCAGCACGAACTCCAACGCCAACGTGCAGGAGGACTTTTGGTTCAACTTCCAGATCAGGTCGGGGTGCGCCTCGGGGTGCAAGATGACCGTCGACACCTGCGGGTCGCACTTCGATGCAGGTCAGGCCACGCCCGTACCTCGTGCCTTGCGGTCGCTGCCCCCTCCTGGCGAGCTGCGCCCCGAACAACGCGCGCTGGCCCCTCTGTTCTCGCAGCCCTGCGCGTGTGGGACTTCAGCAACCTCACCAGCCCGGCGCTCGTGAAGACGTGCACGATCTTCGGCGACGGCGACGACATGGGCACCCAGCGCCTGGCCTGGTGGCCGGGCCTCGACCACGTGGTGACCAGTCCTGACGGGTCGCGGCAGCAGTCCTGGGCGGACGTCACCTGCGCGCGGCAGGACGCGTTCACCGAGGTGACCGTCGTCGACGGTGAGAGCCCGCGCGCGCGCACGCCTGTCGACGCGCGGGAGCGGTGTCCGCTCACGCACCAAGCGTCCTGCCGCGGTTTCGACGTGTCTCGCAGGCAAGCGCTACAGCATCCAGGTCGGGAAGTTCTGGCACGGCTCAGGCAGCTTATCGTCGAGCTCGTACCAGGCCACGCGTTTGCTGGCGCTGCACACGCAGCTCGACCGGACAGGGGTTGTGTTTGAGACGGACGAGCAGGTGCTGGTCGGACACGACGGGTCGTTCAACGTCTCCGTGCCGTTCGTCGCGGCTTCCGCGACGCCGCCGCCGACGTCGGGACCTGCGACCACAGCCCCGCCCAGCGGCGGCGCCGCGGCCACCACTCCTGCACCTGCCCAGGGCGGTGCGACGACGGCAGCCCCCGCACAGACGCAGGCGCCGGCGGCGACTCAAGCGCCGGGCTCGGGTGGTAATCCGAGCCCGACCAACCCGCCGGCGACGACGCCGCGCCCGACCCCGGCGCCGCAACCAGCCCAGGTGAGATTCAACATGCACCTGTATTCGCTTGTTTCCTCACGCGTCTATCTCGTTGCGCGAGCGCGACACCCGGCGCGACCGCCCTCGTATGTGCTGCAGGTGGCGGTGTCGTTCCGGAGCACCTTCACGACGGCCAGCGCTGACGGCTCGCTGACCGCCGGCGAGCGAGAGCTGATCGTCCAGGGCTTGATGCAGGCGATGGGGCTGCCGCTGACGACCCAGCACAGCACGACGTTCATCAACGTCGGCGGCAGGCGGCGAATGCTTCAGGGCACGGGCACGTACTCCGTGTCCAGCACCATGACGGTGAGCAGCGCAACGACGGCAAACAGCGCCGCGGCGAGCTTCAACGCCGCGGCTTCGGGAGGGGGGCTCGCGCTGGCGATCAGCAACGCTGGCGTCACGGCAACGAGTATAAGCGGGGCAAGCTCCTCCGTGACGTTGGTGTCACAGAACAGTGCTACTCCTAGTTCTGCATTTGCCGCCTTGCTGAATTCGTGGTTCGTGCTCGTCGCTGGGCTGGCCGCGTCGCTAATCGCGACCATGTGATTGAATGATTGGTCTGCTCCGGGAATGCATCGCTCGCTGCTCTCCGCGGAGCTGGGGAAGACCATGGATCGACAGGGGGGGGCGCCTCGCCGGCGCACTGGCTGGCGTGTGGACGCCTTCCTGCATGGCGCGCAGGCTGCCGATCAGCAAGGGCTGCGGACGCCTTCGTCCTGCTTCCAGTTCTGGTACATCGCGAGGATGTCGTCTGGGATGTCCCTGGGGCACCAGCCCTTGTGGTCCCTGCAGAGCTCGTCCCAGCATTTCTGCGCCGCAAGACGGACCTCGAGCGCGGTCAACAGTCGCAACCGTAGCCGCACACGCACCCCGAGCTGCGCGTTCGCGGCTGAGCGAGGGTGCTCCGGCGTGCATCTGGCGCGCAGCGGCCCGACCTGGTAACAGACGCCCTCATCGAGGTCCAGCGAGTAGAAAACGAAATTCCGCTTGTGGTTGCGACCGATGTGGTGGCAGTAGTGCGCCCCGTCGCCGCGGAGGTCCAGGACGATGCATGGGCTGAAGAACTGGATCTTGTAGAACGACACGTTCTGCCTGTTCGAGGCCGCCTTCGAGTACTCGATCGCGAACTGCTCGACCCGGCGCCTCATTTCCGGGGTGAGCAGCCTCGCTTCTTGCTGCATGTGCCGTTGAGACTCGAAAGTTTCACCGCGGCAACATGATGGCATGTGCGGCCTCGGTCTCGGCGGCAAGCGATCGGGAGGTGCAGAGGGGCCACACACCTCGCGAAACTCCTCGCGTGTGATGTCCGGCACCGCTGCGTCTGAGCCCTGCCCGTCGCCCCCATGTCCGCGGCTGGATCGACTGCGCTTGCCCGTTGGACGACGTCCCGCCGGCGAAGGAGCCGGTCCCTTGATGCACTCGGGAAGGTCGAAAAAACACGTGCCGCGTGCTACCCTCGTGACCAGCGACGACAGGAAGACGTCGAACTCCGTCATGTTGCGGGGGATCCTGTGCGTCACGGGGATGATGGTCGAGGGCCTGGTCTTGTCGATGTAGCCCTCCGGCGTCGCGAGGCGAGGCGGCGCCTCCCAGGAGCAGGCGCGCCCCCGCAGCGCGAAGCGGCCGGTGGGCACCAGGACCGGTCCCGGGTCCGTCGTGTTGGGCCTTGGGCCCTTCGAAGACCACACGCAGCGGAACTGCCGGTTCCGCGAGTACACGCTCGTGTCGACGATGCTCACGGTCTTTCCATGCTCGTCGTCCACCGCGAGGAACCGCTTTCCCTGCGGCGCAAGCACGTCTCGAGACACGGGCACGGGTTGGCACTCTCGCACGACGCTGCACGCTCGCTTGCGCACCGGGCAGCGACAGCGGGAGGCTGCTGACCTCTGGGAGGCCCAGGAGGTGCTTGACGAAGAGCCCCGCGTCCCCGCTCGACGCGAACGCCCAGCCGGGCACCGCGACCACGACGTGCCGCGAGAACTTGGCACTCTGCGACGAGTCCATCTCCAGCACGTCGGCGTGCGACACCTGCGCCGAAGCACCGCAAACGCGCACGCTCGGACCGCCTGTCGCTCGTCCGCGCGTCCGTACGGTGCGGCCCGGGGTGGCTGTGTCTCACCTCGACGCCGAAGTGCTCCTTCATCTGCCGCAGCGCGAGGTCCACGAACGCCTCCGTGAGCGCCTCGCCGCACAGGTCCGGGTTGAACTGCGGCTTGAACTCCACGTCCAGGTACAAGTGGCACGGGTACCCCTCGCGCACAATCTCGTACCAGTGCCGGTGGTCCGGCTCCGTGGCCATCATCTGCGCGGAGGGAGCGAGGAGCCGCGCAAGACCGTGTCAGCCGGTGGAACGACGCGTCGGCCGCGGTGCGCGGTACAGCCCCGCGCGCACCGCCGCACCTGTGCCCACAGGACCTCGAGCGCCCCCGCGGTGAACGTGCGGTAGCACCCGCCGCCGTCGTCCCCCCTCCGGTGCTCTCCCGCGAACACGCGAGTGATCTGGAGGCCCCCCGCCGGCGCGTCGTCGTCGCCCGCCCCCCAGTCGTTCGCCAGTCCCACCCGCAGTGCTTCATGCCGTGTCTTGAGCGACAGGGCGGCGTTCAGGTGGTCGGCGAACTCGAACGCGGGCTGCTGCTTGTAGAACGTTCGGCAGACGGGTCCGCACATGGTCCGGAAGTCGAGCTCCATCGCGTCCCAGAGGTCGTCGTCTGTGCGCGCGGGAGCTGGAGACGGGCTCGGCGCACGCGGCCCGCCTGGAGGTGCCGCGTGGCGGCGGGGACGTCGCGGGGGCTCGAGCGGGCCGTTCGCGTGCACGGCGGCCCCGCCGGCGCCAGAGTTCCGAGCGCCGCTCCCCCCGTGCACTGTGCTGGTTGGGCGGGCAAGCGCAGGCGGCGCGTTCGACGGTCCCCCGGCCCGGTGTCCAACGACTCCGTCATGATCATCGCCTGCACGTTCGAGATGAGTCGACTCGGGTGAGTCGTGCGGTCGAGGCGCGCTGCGAGGGCGTGCCGAGGGTGATGCAGGCACAGCGCCACGAGACGAGTGCCCGCGAGAGGAGCGGGGGGGTCCACAGTGGGCGTTGGGCCCCGGCCGGAATGCCAGAGGATACCACGTCTGAGCGTCGCTGGCTGCGTCGCACGAAGGCCGCGGTGGGGCGCGCTGGCGCGGCGAAACGCACGTGCGGCTTCAGCACCCCATTCACCGGCGTTGCGTGCGCCACCGGCCACAGATATGTTGCGCGCCAGCTCTGCAGTCCTGACGCGTTTCGGTGGCGTCGCCCAGGGGGCGTCCTCCCTCCACGGCATCCTTGCAAGCGAGGCTGCTCCCCAGCATTTCAATCAAACCGCGGCGCCCGTCGCTGCAGGAGGTCGCATGGCAAGCGCAAGCCTCGAACTGAGCCCCCTTGTTGTGCGCTGCGCGGGCCTCTGCTGGCGACGTCCGGCAAGGCGCGCATTAGTCGGCAGGTCGATGACTTGACGCACCGCTGCTGCTGGGCGCGCCGTGGTCGGGCCGGCCGCCTGGGTCCGCGGCGGGCAGTCGGGTCCTATTCAGGGACAGCCGCCGGCCGCTCGGTGCACAAACAAGACAGCAGACAGAAGGAAACGCGGATTGGGGCCCTGGACTCGTCGCGACCGCTGCGTGAGCAGGAGGCACCTCTTGTTGCGAGCTTCCGTGGAGGGGGTCGTGCAGCTCGACCCGTTTGCACTCCCGCCTGCGTGCCTACACTGTCTGGGTGAAGTCGCGACTACCTAGCGGTCCCTTCTCGGAGGTCGCGATGGCAGGGAGGGGCAGGAGTAGGCTCAAGGCAGCGCTCCTGCTGCTGCTCGCGGCCTTCGCGAGCTGCATCCTCCCCCGCCATGTAGCCGCGCAAGAGAAGGCCATGAAGCAGGTGTTCATCGCGTCGCCGATGTACGGCGGGAAGCTCTACCACGGCTACTTCGCCTCGGTGCTGGCCGCGATGAACCATTTCAGCGTGATGAAGGCCAGGTGCGCACCTCCCGGGGCGCGGCCTTGCTCCGAATGTGGTCGGGCGGCCGGCGGGGACGGAGGTGCAAGTTTCCGCGCCAGGCGCGGACGACGCCCTTGCACCATGCTCCCGCAGTGTTCAGCTAGCGTTCGACGCCACCTCCGGGCCGTGGAGGCACGTCGTGACGCCTCGGCCGCATGTCGACGACGTCACGGGCGCGCCTCTGCCGTGCCCCGCGGAGCGTTGCGTCGGAACCGCCCGCTCTGTGCGTTGCCCGCGTGGCTGGCTGTGCAGGCCCGACATCACGCTGGTGATCAGCACGGTGGAGATGGTCTCGGAGATCGCCGTGGCACGCGCCATCCTGTGCAAGTTCTTCCTGTCGACCGCGAGCAACACCCACATGTTCTTCATCGACAACGACATCTCCTTCACCACAGAGGTGCGCACCTCGCCGCCGCCCGCCCTCGACCACAGCGCCGGTCGCGCGAGCTCCGTGCCCGCGAGCCCCGCGCCCTCTCACGAGCCTCGCCGCCTCCCGCCCGCGCCCCTCCCGCCCCGCAGATGATCGAGCGCTTCGTGGACTCCAACAAGCCGGTGCTGGCCGCCGCCGCGCCGCTGCACGGCCCGCCGAACTGGGACCTCCTCGTCGACCTCGCGCGCTCCAACCGCGACATCCCCGAGGACCAGATGGCCGCGCTCCTGCAGACCTCGGGGTACCCCCTCAACGTGGACTTCCTGCCCGACCTCGACAAACCCAGGTGCGGGGGAGGGGCGGACGGGGGCGCACGGGGGAGCGTGCGCGCGTGCGTGCGGACGTGGGTGGGCGCGTGCTTGCGCGACGTGGCGTGCGTGCTCGTTTCCTGCAGGGACGCGGAGGGGCGGTACCCTGCGCGTCTGACGCCGGACGAACACGGGCACCTCAAGGTCCAGGCCGTGGGCATGGGGTTCGTCATGCTGGTGCGGCCGGTCGTCGAGCGCATGTGGCGGTCGTACCAGGAGCTGACGTTCCGGTGAGACCCCCGTCGCACGCTGGTGGCGAGCCCGGGCTCGCGCGCGCGTCGTGCGAGGAGGTATCCCGCGTCCGTGAGCCTGTCCGTCGCGTGCGAGTGTCCTTCTGCCTCCCCGCAGGCACCAGCAGTACGGGGACGTCGTCGGGTTCTTCCACAACAGCCTGCAGAAGGGCGCGGACGGATCCATCCACTCCGCCGCCTCGGAGTACCACGCATTCTGGAAGGTGCGCCCCGCGGCGGTCGCCGGATCGGACATGTTGCGACGCCGCTGCGCCACCGTTCTCGCCGGCGGCGCGGTCCAAATGCAAGCGACGTTGTCGGGGGGGCCTGCGACGTCGCGCACGCGCGCTGTGGTCCGCCGCACCCACCTGGCGCCGTCCTCCCGCCCGACTTTCGTTCGCAGCGCTGGCGTTCGCTGGGCGGAGAGATCTGGGTCGACACCAAGGAGGGCGTCAACCACACGACGCGGGCCACCTTTGACGCCGCGCACTTCTTCGAAAAGCTCAAGCCGGAGAACCCCGCCAGGTGCGACCGCCCGCTCCCGCTGCGTCCGTGCGGCTGTCCGCGGTCCCCGCCCCCGCGACCGACCCAGCACGGCCCCCCCGTAGTGCCACGTGTGCGAGTGCAGGGACATCCAGATCATCTACAAGTCGTGGTCGCACGAGTTCACGGTGGACGAGCTGCGCGCGATGCAGGCGGCGGAGGCGAGCGGGGCGCCGCAGGGGCGCATGCGCGAGGACCAGACGCCGGGCAAGGACCGCATCGAGCTGTGATGTTGCTCCCGTGATGGCAGCAGCGCGCGCGGGGACGTGCGTCGGCGCGGGGACGTGCGTCGAGTTCGTTCGAGCATGAGCCGTTTCCTCACACGAGCAGCACGGCGTTGACGCATCCGTCGTTCTCGGGGTTGTTCGTGACCTGTGCGTACTTGCCCCACACCACCTTGCCCGCGGGCGTCACCAGACCCAGCTCCGACACGTCCACCTCGATCACCGTCCCCTTCGTCATCACTCCGAGCCCCGTGTACATCTGCGTCGCGGGAGGGGGGCGGCGGTGAGGGACGTGCAGGGCGGAGAACACGGCACGACGCGTCACTCGGCACCGGTGCGCGGCGCTCCCACGGTCACGGACCTGGCCGTTGGGGTTCTTCTTCACCCCGATGATCGGCAGCTGGAACGTCGCTTTGAGTTCCGGGTGCGTCACGTGCGCCTTGGTCATGCGCAGCCCCGTTGGCCGGATGAACCGCTCGTACTTCGGCGGCTTGCGGGTGAAGCCCTGGCCCACGAACGTCACCTTGTTCACCACCCGCTTCCACGCCTTCTTCTGCCGCTTCCCTGCGGACCAGCGCGGACGTGCCGTCGCCGACGTGGGCCGTCACGCACGCAGGGGGCACGCGCCTCGGGGCAGTCGCGGCGCACGGTTCCAGCTGCTCACCTGTCTTCTGCACCTTGAACATCTCATCCTCCGCGATCGGCCGCACCTTGGGCAGCGGCACCTCCCACTTGCCCGCCTTTTCCTTGCGCTTTTGTTTGATGGTGTTGGACAGCACCTGCCGGGAGGGGGGGGGGACGGAACGCGGGCGTGAGGGACGCGCAGACGCGGGGCGATGCGGGGCGAGGGCGGCGGCGGCCCGCGAGCGGTCACGCGGGGTCGTTGGTGTTAGCGGCGGTCGCAGCTGCGCGGCCACCCACCTTGGCGCGGTCGGCCTGCTCACGCTCGAGCAGGTACGCGGGGACGGCGTTCTGGGGGTTGCCGTCGTCGACCTTGTGCTTCTTGTCCTTCTCCTCGTGCATGGCGATGGTCTTCTTCATCTGGATCTTCTCCGCGTGGCGCTTCTTGGCAAACATCTTGCCCTTCAGACCAATGGCCTTCCGCGCGAACTCTGCAGCCGGACGCGGAACCGTCGCTCGGGCTCCATCGCGCGAGTGCGTCTCGTACTCGCTCACGGGGCCGCCCGGGGCGAGGAGGGGCTCCTCTGGCACCCACAGGGCCCCCGCGCGCGCGCCACGCGCATGCGGGGAGCCGTGCGCGGCCCCTTGCGGATGTGGTTGGTACTGGTCGCCACGGGGGCGCCCGGCGGACCGCCCGCGCTGGCCCTGGGCAGCGGGCAGGCGGGGCTGCGCCTGGGCCGCCGGCAGCGAGGTGCAGCGGCCCTCCAAGCGCCTGCCGCGAGTTTTCAGGCGCAATGCCGGAGAATCTGGACCCACTAGGAGCTTCAGTGGCGACAACGCTGGTCCAAGAGTGCGTTTGTGGCCGGTGGAGGTCGTTTTCGCGCACCTGCTCGCTTGTGCACCTCACGCGCCTCCCTCTTCCGTTTCCGCTCGAAGTGGTCCAAGCGGTAGCCATACCGCTTGCGGTGGAGCTCAATATGCTCGTTCTGCGGCATCTTGCCTCCCTTCTATGCGACGTGGCGGTCTCTCCCGGCCTTGTTCCGCCCCCGTTGCCTCCCCTGCTCTGGCACGCCGTCGCACGGCCACCTCCCGCCGTGTTCCTGGCCCCGCGCGATCCAGCTTCGTGGACGCTTGCAGGCCCGCTGCGTGGCCGCCGTCGAAGCCCCTTGCCGTTCAGGCACAGCGAAGCGTGGGGAGCAGCTGCCGCGGTGGCTCCCGTTCCCGCACGAGCACCGGTCGTCCTGACTCGTCGCCGCGTCGGCCTGTTGCAGAGCGCACGCGAAGGTGCAGGCGCGCTCCTCCCCCGCCGCCGATGAGCTCGGGCGGCCGACCTGCGCGGAGGCCCCTCCGCTGCGCGCCCGACGCGGAGTTCCCGCCGGCCGCAGCGTCCGCCGTGCGTGTCGTCCCCCGCGGCGCGCCCTGAACCACTGGGCGGCGGCTTCGCGACCGTCCGCAGGGCGCCGCCGCGCCTGCGGCATCCTGGCATGAGCCGGAGCTGCTGCAGAGTCCTTTCCGCCGTGGAGTGCCCTGTCGTCTCGCGCCGCCGACGTCCCAACGGCGGCGTCGCTCGCTTGTTGTGCTCGGCATGTCTGGGTGGGATCGTCTCGCTCTCCGGGGCCAGCGAGCACCACGACTGCACCCGGGACCTGCGTGCAAGGGCTGCGAGGCGCGCACCGCCACCCAGTGACCCTCACCGCGGGACACCGCCTCGTACGTGATGGGCGCTGCGAGATCGCGAGCTCGGAACCGTATCATCGGCGAGGCAGCACCGCCCGCCGCCCCCGAGGCCGGATCCGCTGCTGTGGGGCGGTGGCCGTGCACGTGCGGCGCAGCACGCGGGCCGGGCGGTCGGAGCCCTCCCGCAGGCGGCCGAGAGACACCCCTGGCCGAGGTGGTGAGCCCTCCCTCCTCTCGCCCTCTGGCGCCCTGCGCACGCCAGCACTGCGACGGGAACAACCACGTCAGGTGCAGGGCCTGGAGAGGACCGCCCGCGACGGCCCAGGAGGCCGTGGGGGGCGCCCGCGGAGTGGCGACGCCGTTTACACATCTCACGGTCGACCTCTAGCATGGGCGGTCCTTGCAATTGATCCATGCAATGATGACGGCGCCGCGTCGGCTGCGGTTGGGCAGCACCCTACTCCTAGCAGGCTGCGTGTGCTTCCTTGCGTCCATAGGCGGGGCCCAACCACAGCCTATTGCGGACGTCGCGAAGGTTCTCGACGTTGCGAGCAACGTCGGCTGCCAGCAGGACGGCACATTCAACACGGTGGGCGGCCCAACCGCCGCCCTGCCCCCACTGCGCGCGCATCGCCAGCACGTGCCCTCCTCGTGCGAGGGTGCCGCACGCCCTGGCGACGACCATGACGCGCGTCCGGGCACGGCCGCCGAGTCCTCTGCCGGCCCGCGACCTCGTCGCGCGCCTTTGCCCCATGTGTCACCTCCTGCACCCGCGCGCCCGCCGTGCGACCGCGCCGCGGTGCCCTGGTGCGACGTGACTCGCAGGATGGTGTCGCGTCGATCGTCGGGGGCGACCTTCTGTTCGGCCTGCAGCCGCCGGCGGGGCAGGCGAGCCTCGAGGTCCTCTGCGTAGGTGAGCGCCCACCGCAGTTTCCGCCCCTGCGCTGTATACGCGATGATTGCGCCACGGTGCGGGCGACCCGGTGCGTCTCCATCGACTGGCCGCCGAGGTCCTGTTTGACTCGCGCCCGGGCGGCACGTGTGCGGCGCAGGCGGCGCGGTCAATGGCACGGTGGCAACATGGCAACTGGGCGACGTGTCGCTGAGCCTGCTGGACGGTGTCAACCTCCAGGCCGCCGCGGCGACGGCGCAGTACAGCACGGCTACGAAGCTCATGAGGCTGACGACCACGGTGTCGCTCGCGGGCGTCGCGATGCCGCTGGAGGCCGAGTTCAACCCAGCGACCGTCGCCCAGTCCGGGGGGCTCGCCAAGGCAAGCGCGGGCCCCGACCACGCCCCCTCGGGCCGCAACCGCGACGTGCCGATCCGGACACCGCCGTGCTGCCCACCGCGCGCCCGCATGCCGCGTCCGCGCGGAGCACGCCGCTTGGATCGTGCCAGCTTGCCAACCGCAACGACCTGCCCGCGCGCCCGCCCTGCAGATCGGAGACGTCAGCGTCCCGCCCGTGTCGCTCTCTGGGATCGCATCGGCCCTGGGTAGCGCATTTTCGGAGGCTCTGAGCACCGCGAAGCCACCGGCGGGCGAGGCGGAAGCGACGCTGCAGGTGGCGGGGCTGACCGTCACGCTCAAGGGCGGCATGGTGACCATCTGCGAGCAACCGGGCGCCGCCCGGCGCGCGCTGGCCTCGCGCGACCTCCTGGCGGCTCCGCTCGCCGCGGGCACCCTGACCGGCGCCGCCGCCGTCGCGGACGGCGCCGACGGCATCGCCGAGGTGACGCTGACGCCCGCGCAGCGCTCGCAGCGCGGCGTGGTGTCGTGGCAGGGCGCGATCGGGGGCACGATCGAGGCGTCGTTCGAGTTCATGGTCAGCGGGTCGGGAACGAAGTCGGCGGAGCTCCAGGCGATGTGGTTCTACTTCGGCGACCCGGCGGCGGGCGTCGGGGACGAGAAGAAGCCCGAGGGCGGCATCCGCGTCTACATGTACGCGGTGTCCGCGACGCTCGACGAGGTGGGCGTCCGCGCGGGCGCCTCGACGGCGCAGAAGAGCCAAGTGGTGTCGGGGGGCAACCCTGCAGGGCTGTGGCGCAAGTGCCAGACGAGCTGGTGCAAGATGACCGTGGCGCTCACCCCGGGCAGCACCAAGCTGACGGGCAGCGTCACGCTGACCCGGCCGGGGCTGGCGAACAAGGTCTTCACGGTGTCGCTGGACAAGCCGGCGGCGGGCTGGCCCGACCTGAGCAAGACGGACCTCTTCCACGGCGTGGGGGCGCGGACGTCGGCGGGGCTGGTGGCGCGGCACAAGGCGCGGAACATCGACGCGAGCCCGCACAGGACGACGGCGCCGCCCACCACGACGCCGGCGCCCACGACGACGACGGCCGCTCCCACGACGACGGCGGCGCCCACCACGACGGCGGCCCCGACGACGACCGCGGCCCCGACCACGCCCACGCTGGCCCCCGGTGCCACTGCTGCGCCGCCCACGTCGGCTCCCCCGACGCCCACGGTGGCGCCGCCGACGACGCTGCCGCCCCCGGTGTGCTCGGACAGGCTGGCACTGACGCAGGTCGGCATCAAGGGCAGCGTGGACCAGTCCGCGGGCAAGCTGGACTTCGAGGCCACGGGGACGCGCCGCGTGAACTCGACGGAGTGGGCCCTGTCGTACTTCGACGTGCGCGTCACGGACGGCCAGTACGTGGACGTGCGCGTCAACGGGTCGGCCCCCTGCGAGCCCGGCGCGGTAATCGACGCGACGCTGAGCCTGACGGGACTGCCGATGGGCCTCCCGAGCTTCAACGACATCCGCGGCAACGTCGTTGCACGGTGCGGGTCCAAGGGCGAGGTGGAGTCGTACGTCGCGACCATGCAGCTGGACAACATCCTCCGGGTCGCGACCGATGCGCTGCAGATCGGTCCCCTGCCGTCCGCCACGGCGGCGTACGACTCCGCGGCGAACACCGTCACCCTGCGGTCCGAGATCGGCGACCTGGTGCTCGAGGTGGTGATTCCGCTGCAGAAGCCCGACGTGGACCTGGCGCTGGCGGTCCGCAGCGCCGCCGACGCAGCGTCGGGCGTGTCGGTCGGTGCCGCGGTGGGCGCCCTGGGCCCGCCGTTCAAGGTCATCATGGACGCCATCGGCGTGCCCGGGTCCCAGGAGAGCGCGAGCGACGAGGAGGGCCTGCTCAAGTCCTTCTCCGTGACGCAGAAGGGCCAGGAGCAGGCGGTGGTGGCGGCGGAGGTGCTCATGCCGGGCGACACGGCAGGCTCGGTCGCGACCGTGGCGACCGTCGGCGGCACGCTGGGCAGCCCGACCCTGGACCACCTCGACGTGACGGTGACCGTGCAGGGCGTCGCGACCGTCCACATGTCCGGGGGCGTGCCGTGCGCGCCCGACGCGGCCCCGCTGGCCGCCTCCATCGTGATCGACGACGCGGTGCCCTACGGCGTGGGCGCGGGCAAGACGGTGTACGGGACGGCCAAGCTGTTCTGCGAGGGGCAGCAGGTCGTCGACTGGGACGTGGAGGCGGGCATCGAGCCGTTCGTGGAGGTCAAGTTCCTGGGGGCCACCACGCGGCTCGCGTCGCCGCGCGTACGGTACACGTCGTCGCCGCCGCGCATCGCCGTCGCGGGCGCCCTCAACTCGATCGCCGTCGAAGCGTCCTTCCCGCTCGCGGGCGCGACCAAGGACGGCCCCGAGGTGGAGATCACGTACGCAGCGCCGGCGGGCGGGCAGGGCGCGACCCTTGTGGACGTGTTCGACCGCGTCCCGGCCCTCGCCCTCCTCGTCGACAGCTCGAAGGCGGTGTCGATGCTGGGGCCGTTCGACCTGAACGCCATCGCGTCGACGGGGCTCCGCGTGTCGTACCGGGAGACGCCAGCGCTGACGTCCCTGTCCCTCGGCGGCAACTTCACCGTGAAGGGCGGGATCTCGTTCGGGATGGAGTGGGACGGGCACCGCGACCCCGCGTCGCAGGCCATGATGACCGACCGCTTCGCGCTGGAGGTCGCCCGCGGGGAGGAGCTGCGCCTGAACATCGCCGCGCAGGGGCTCTGCACGCCCGACGCGGCGCCGCTGCCCGCGAACCCCGCGGACCTCGAGGCCGTGCTGGACGCCGCGTGGCAGGGGCTGGCCGGCGCCGGGGAGCTGCCGTCCGGGCTCGGGACGTTCAACCTGACGCTCCGCAACCTCCCCGAGGGGTTGCCGGACATCCCGCGGCTGTCGGGCGTCGTCGCGTTCCACTGCAAAGGCGCGGAGGTGTCCGACTGGGCGGTGCAGGGCGGGATCGGCGGCGAGATCCAGCTCGACCCCCCGCTCCTGGGCCCAACGACGCTGCGCGCGCTGTCGGTGCGGTACGCCAGCCGGACCGACTGGCTGTCGATGTTCACGGCGCTCGGGCCCCTCGAGGTCGCCATCGACGCGCCCCTGTCGAACTTCACCTCCAACATCACCATGGTGGTCCGCAAGCCGCCCACGCAGCCCGCGATCACCCTGGCCCAGATGCAGCAGACGCTCGGGTCCTCCGTGTCGCCGCTGCTCGACGCGGCCGGGCTGGGCGCCGTCGCCTCGAGCTCCGGCAGCTCGGCGTCGGGCGCGGGCGCGCGCAGGGCGCTGCAGGAGGGCACGCTGTCGCTGAACGAGCTGGCGGTGTACTTCAAGTCGGGGACCGCGATCGACGTCCTCGCCGAGATCGAGGCCGGCGGCCTGACGTTCCGGTCCGTCGCCGGCCTGGTCCCGGGCGCGGACACGAGCAACGCCAGCGCCTGGCAGGTGACCCAGTTCGACCTGACGCTGGCGTACACCGCGGGAGCGAGCGGGCTCGCCGGCGCCTTCCCCTGGTCGCTGCGCGCCACGGGCCCCGGAGCGCCGTGCCCGGCGACCGTGCCCTTCAACGCCGAGGCCGACTTCACGCGCTTGCCGCACGGCCTGGCGAGGCTGGTTCCGGCGACCGGCACCGTTGCGTTCAAGTGCGGTCCCGAGGACGACGTCCAGGGCTACGAGGTGACGCTGATCTACCCGCCGGCGGTCGACATGGAGGTCGCCGGCGTCGCTCTGCCTATCCGCGACCTGCAGATCTACGTCAAGGTCGACGGCGGGAACGTGTCGCACGTCCGCGCCAGCGGTGCCGTCGAGGGCGCCTTCTCGCTGGCCGTCGACCTCCCCGTGGGCAGCGGCGACGCGGGGGGCGGCGTCGTCGAGACGCGCAGCCTGTGGGACCCGGCCTCGGGCCTCACCGCCACGCAGGCCGTGAACGCTCTGGGAGCGTTTGGCGAGCTGTTGAACGCGATGGGCTTCTCCGCCGTCGCCGCGCCGCTCGACAGCATCGTGCTGCGCTCGGCGTGGGTGAGGGCCACCCGCGAGCGGGTCGACACGAAGGTTGCCCTGCAGGCCCTCGAGCAGGAGATCGAGCTCGACCTGACCACGGAGCTGCGCTGCACGGGCGGCGGGCCCGCCGCGGGGGACGGGGCGGCTGCTGCCCGCCGCGCCGCTGCGCTCTCGGCGCATGCGGCGCTCCCGGCCGGCGTCCCGCACCCCCACCGACCACGTCGCTTCCTCGGCGTGGCATCGCTGCTGTCGGGCACGCTGTCAGGGTCCGCGACGGTCGTTGACGGCGCCGACGGCGTCGCCGAGGCGATCCTCACGCCCGCGCAGCGCTCGCAGCGCGGCGTGGTGTCGTGGCAGGGCGCGATGGGGGGCACGATCGAGGCGTCGTTCGAGTTCATGATCAGCGGGTCGGGGGCCAAACCGCCCGAGCTCCAGGCGATGTGGTTCTACTTCGGCGACCCGGCGGCGGGCGTCGGGGACGAGAAGAAGCCCGAGGGCGGCATCCGCGTCTACATGTACGCTGCTTCGGCCGCGCTGGACGAGGTGGGCATCCGCGCGGGCGCCTCAACGGCGCAGAAGAGCGCCCTCGTGTCCGCCGGGAAGTCCGCGGGGCTGTGGCGCAAGTGCCAGACGAGCTGGTGCAAGATGACCGTGGCGCTCACCCCGGGCAGCACCAAGCTGACGGGCAGCGTCACGCTGACCCGGCCGGGGCTGGCGGACAAGGTCTTCACGGTGTCGCTGGCCAAGCCGGCGGCGGGCTGGCCCGACCTGAGCAAGACGGACCTCTTCCACGGCGTGGGGGCGCGGACGTCGGCGGGGCTGGTGGCGCGGCACAAGGTCCGGAACATCGACACCCCCGCCCACACCCCCGCTCCCACGACAACGCCGGCGCGCACGACGACGACGCCCGCGCCGACCACGACGACCCCGGCGCCAACGACCACGGCGGCCCCGACGACGACCACGGCGGCCCCGACGACGACCGTGCCCACGACGCCTCCGGCCACGACGCTGCCGGGCGCCACGCCGGCGCCGACGACCACTCCTCCTCCGCCGACGCTGCCCCCGCCGGAGCCCGTCGTGTGCAAGCACGCCGTGTCGCACATCAGGACGAAGATCGTGTCGACCATCGGCGTGGAGCTGACGCTCGAGGCCTCGACTCCTCCCTGCCCGGACGGACCAGAGGTCGCCGCGGAGGTCTTGCTCCCGAACGGGCTCCCGATGGGGCTCGGCGACGGGACAAAGGTGTACGGCACGGCCGTCGGCACCTGCGCGAACGGGACCGTTGCGGACTGGTACGTCAGCACAGCGATCGACCCGTCTGTCACCGTTGCCGCCATGGGCTCCGGCGTGACGGTGTTCCTGCCGACGCTGGGGTACAACACGTCGAACCAGGAGATGAGCTTCACCGGCCGCGTCGGGAGCGTGGACGTGTCTGTCAAGATGCCCCTCGCCGCCAACTCTTCGGTGCCCACCGTCCTGTCGATGTCGTACGCAGCGGCCTCTGGCAGTGCCGGCGCCTCATTCGGCGACGTCCTCGGCCAGGTGCCTCTCCTCGGCGGGCTCGTCCAGGAGTCTGGCGTCACGAGCATCCTCGGCCCCTTCGACCTCCCCGACATCCTGGTGACGTCCTTCAAGGTCAACTACGAGAGCGTCCCGGGGTCAACGGCTGACATGTCGATGAGCGGGTCCTTCCGCGCGGGCGGGCAGACCATGTCGCTCACCTGGACCGGTCGCACGCTCGAGTCTGGCGCCGTGGTGACGGACACGTTCAGCGTCAGCGCAGCGCGCGACGGCTCCGTCTCGATGAGCGTCACTGCCCAGGGGGTGTGCGGCAGCGGCGTCGGTGCTGGATCGGGAACCTTCTCCCTGTCCCTCCAGGGTCTGCCCTACGGTCTGCCGGACTTCCCCACCCTCAACGGAGACGTCACGTTCACCTGCGACGGCCGCAAGGTGAAGGCGTGGACCGTCGAGGTGCCCCTCGGATCCGCGACCGCGCCGGTCGACGTCCCCGTCCTGGGCCAGGTGACGCTATCCGACATCAAGGCCCGGTACGCGAGCAACAGCACCGACCTGCGCCTGAGCGCCGTGCTGTCGCCCCTGGAGATCTCCATCGAGGCCCCGCTGTCGGACTTCAAGAACGGGCTGCGAACGGCGATCCGCAAGCCGCCGCACCTCCCGGCGATCACGGCGCAGCAGGTCATCCAGGTCATCGGCCCGTCGGCCAACGCCCTGATGAGCGGCGCGGGGCTGTCTGCGGCAGTCGCCGCGATCAACGCGCCGGCGGGGCGGCGGCTCCAGCAGTCAGTGCCGGACGTGGCGTTCCGCGAGCTGACCGTCTTCTTCCCACAAGACGGCAGCAGCGTCGTCGTCGAGGCGGCGATGGACGCACAGGGCCTCTCGGTCGACGTGACGACGACCTTCCTGGTCCAGGGCAACGACTTCATCGTCCAGACCTTCGCCCTCTCCCTCGCGTACGCGGGCGTGGACTACCCGTGGTCGCTGCAGGTCATCGGCTCCGGCGTCCCGTGCAGCCCGGGCGTGTCTGCTGGCGCGTTCGAGGTCTCGGCGGACTTCTCCTCGCTGCCGCACGGCCTCGGAGCCGTCGTTCCGACCAACGGGACGGCAAGCTTCACGTGCACGGGCGGGGACGTCACGGCGTGGAACGCGAAGATGTTCTTCGAGGACGGGTTCCTGCCCGTGTCCGGCCTTGGGATCCCACTCACTGGGCTCGGCGTCGGGGTGGGCGTCGCACCGGGCGCGCGCTCCGCGAGCGTGTTCGGGACGATCGAGGGCGCGTTCTCCCTCGCGCTCGACCTGCCCGGCAGCACGGCGTCGACCGACATCTTTCGGTTCACGTCGCTATGGGACGCGAACCGCGGAATCTCGATGGGCACGCTGGTGGACAAACTCGGCAGGGACGGGTTCGGCGGGGCCATCCGCGATCTCGGCGTGTCCACCGTCGCCGCGGACCTGTCGACGGTCGTGGTGCGGAAGGTCAACATCGACGCGTCCCCCCGGGGGTTCACGGCTCAGCTGGACTTCCAGGCACTGGACCTGTCGCTGGCCCTCGACATGCGCACTGCGCAGACGGCGCCGGGGACGCACATCCTGCAGGGGATGTCGATCGAGGTGTCGCACCCCAACATGATCGTTAAGTTCTCTGCGCTGGACCCCTGCGGCAGCCAGGACGTCACTGCGCCCGGCACCGCGACGTTCAGCGGCCTCCCGGAGCCGGTGACCGCCGTTGGACCGGTCGAGGCGACGGTGACTTTCACCTGCACGGGGACGACGGTGACGGACTACAAGGTCGTCGTGCCCGTTGGCGCGCAAATGACGCTCGATGCAGCCGGGACTCCCGTCACGGTCGGGGCGAAGGACCTGACCTTCTGGGCCAAGTCCAAGACCGTGCGGCTGTCGGCTCTGCTCCCGAGGGCCGACCTGCTGGACAAGCTCGATGTCGGGCTGACGTACATCATCGGCGACACGCGATCGGCGGGCGCGGTCGACATCATCGTGATGAAGCCGGTCTCGCTCGGCGATCTCATGGACGCCGTCCCGACCATGTCGGTGGTCTCGTCCTTCACGAGCGGCGTGAATCTGCAGCAGCCGTTCTCGACGATGGGCGAAGAGATCCTGGCTCTCGCCGTCCAGAGCGGCAGGGTGCTCTTCGTGTCGCCCAAGGGCGTCGGGGATGACCAGACAAAGGCAGGCATGGTGTTTGCCGGTACCGTCCGCGTCTTCTCGCGCGACGTGGAGGGCTGGTTCGACATCACGAAGGGCAGAGACGGATCGTGGCAGGGCCTCGTGGCAGTTGCTGCGGAAGCCATCGCGGGCCACGGCCCGCCCATCATCCAGCGCGTCCTGGACCTGTTCCCCCTGCGGGACACGTACGTCGGCGTCGCGACGGGCTCGGGCACGTTCCGGAAGTTCGACGCGAGGAACCCCGCAGCCCCCATGGAGCTCCTGTCGTTCATGGAGGCGTCGTCGGTGATGGTGACGGGCAAACCGGACTTCGACCGCGGCCCGCTGAAGGAGATCGTGGGCTCGGGGTCCGGCGCCATCGGGCAGCAGGTCGCCGGCGGCGGCAGGGTGTACGTGTCGTTTTCGAGCGGATCGTACGTCGTAGAAATGGCGCTCCCCGCGGACATCCAGATCGGCCCCGCGCACGTGCGCTCGCTATCGCTCGCCGTGAGCGGCGGCCAGACCGGCACGCCGACCGTCGGGTTCGGGGTCAGCATGCGCATCAGGCTGTCGGACGCCAACATCGACTTTGCAGGCCAGATGAGCCTGGATCCGGCGACGTCGACCCTCGCGGGCCGCGTCCTGCTCACCACGGCTCAGGGCTGGAACGACCCGATGGGCATCTCGTCGGAGCTGACCATCCGGACCTTCGGCGTGGACCTCAGGATGAACGTCGCCACGAACCAGATTCTGCGCTTCCGGGGCGACGCCTCGGGCGACTGGGGCGTGCGGTCCTTCCGCAACCCCACGCAGGTGTCCGTGGCATACGCTACAGACATCGAGTTCCCGACGAAGACTGCGTTCTACGTGGAGGCGACCGACATCGACTTGTACCGCGCCGTCAAGCCCATCTTCACCTCCCTGGGCGGCAGGGTCCCCTCCGCGGCGGGGACGCTGCTCAAGTCCGTCAGCATGTCGAGGTACATGCTGTCGTACAATCCGAGCATCTTCAGCGTGCGAACGCCGAATCGTCTCATCCCCGCTGGCGTCAACTTCGACGCGAGGAACGTGAGGGTGTTCGGGCAGGCCATCGGATCGGCGTACTTCACGACCACCGTGGGCTTGCGGCCGCGGATGTCGGGGCGGATCGACATGGCTCCGCTCGTCGTCGGCAACGTCTTCAAGGTGTACCGCAGCCGCGGCAACACCAGGAGCGGGCCGCGGTGCACGCTCGACTTCCAGGCAGGCAGAAACCCCGAGCTGTCGTGCTCGGGCCACACCAGCATCGCCGGCGTCTCCGGCGACGTCACCGTCCTCGCCAAGGGCTCCAGCTGGACCTACTCCATGAGGCTCGTCCTCGCCTTCGGCAGCCGCCGCCAGCGCGCGGTGCTTGCCCTGCCCGGCGACGGCGGCGTAGCTGGTGACGCACACGCTCTCGTGCCGGCTGTCCCCGAGGACGCGGGCGGGGAGGGAGACTTCGAGGTTGCGGGCTACGACTGGGCCTCGGAGCAGCAGAGCTACAAGTGGACGCCCGAGGAGCTCGAGGAGCTGTACTCCATCGCTCGTGGCGACGACTTGATGCAGGAGGCCTCGCGAGGACGCGGTCTGAAGCGTCTGAGGGTGTCGGGCAACTTCTGGCGCAAGGTCGACACGCTGAACTCGAGGGTCAGTTCGAGTCGCAGATACAGCCGCAGCCCGCGCAACAACATCTACCTGGACATGACGGCGTCGATCAGCGACCTCAGCCCGCGCGCCGTCACGGGAGGCCGCGTCACGGTCTCCTACAGCTTCTTCGTCTCCGCGTCCTCCGGCCAGGGCAGGGGGCTCGTCAACGCGATCGTGAACGGGCTCGCGGACCAGCTCATCCGATACGTCGAGCAGATCAAGAGACACGCGATCGCTGCAGCCAGACAGGCGGTGAGCGTGGCGCTGCGACCCCTGAAGAGCGCGCTGAGGTCGGCCGAGAGGGGTCTCGCTTACGCGCGCAGGAGGCTCTTTTCGGTGACCAGGTGGATGCGGCAGAGGGTCAACCGCCTCAGGAGGTCTGAGAACAGAGCTCGGAGGAAGTATCGCCGGTATAGGCGCAAGTGCTCGTGGTACAAACCGTGGCATTGTACGAGCAAGGCCTGGTGGTGGATGAAGTGGAAGGCCATCAAGGGCCTGCGATGGGCAGCGAATCGAGCACTCAGGCTTGCAGAGTACGGGCTGAAGAGAGCGATCAACGCGGCCAGATGGGTCGTCAACGTGCGCACCCGCTCACCCCGCTCTGCTGCTGCCAGTGCTTGCACGCCACCGCGCCGCGCCACTCATGCACTCACCGCAGGAATGTATCGACGCAATGCTCGCCCGCCCTAAACTGCGCGCGCATTCTCGTCACCGGTGTGCAGAGAGCCAGGTCTGCACTTAGAAGGATGCAGCAGGCCTGCAACCGATTCATTTCGTCGACGCTGAACGCCGCCGCGGGTGGGGTGAATCAGATCATCAACGCGGCGAGGAGCGGGGGCGATGCTGTCCGGAGGCTGTTCAACGTCGACTGGTTGAGGGCAACGGCAACGACAAGCGGCGCGCTCACGGGACGGGTCGACGCGGAGGTTCGCGTCAACCCGTTCTCGCAGGGGTGGAAGACGCGCAGGTTCTCGTGCAGGTTGGAACTTCTCGACCTGTCGACCTGCATCTTCACCTTGTACGCCCGGGAAGTAGGCCAGTGGTTCACTCGACTGCTGCCCTTCAAGTCCGCCCGTTCTCGGCAGCTCCTGAGCGCGCCCGAGGGCCTGACGTTCGAAGAGGAGATGGCGTTCCTCGAGCTCCAGTACCGCGGTCTCCTCGCCCTTGACGCCAGCGAGGAGGTGTCCATCACGGACTGGGCGCAGACGTGGCCCGGGCAAGACGCGGCGCTCCGCTTGTCCCGGCCCTCGCGCGCGCTGCTACAGGCCGCTGTCGCGGCCAACCTGACCGTGACCGACGAGGACATCGACGGCGAGGAGGTGTCGGTGTCCAACGTTCCCGGCGTCACTGCTGTCGAGGAGGAGCCGCTCCCGGCGGATCACGAGCAGTTCCTCGCCGCCGGCAACGACACGGATATCCAAGTCGAGCCCCTTGAGAAGGAGGCCTTGGACAAGGCGAACAATCCGACGGCGGTGTTCAGCGACGCAACGAAGAGCCTGGAGGAGCAGGGAACGAGGGGGCCGAACGGCACCGTGGAGCCGCCGTCGCCCGCGGTCCTGCGCGTGCAGGCGCAGAAGCAGTTGAGCATCCGCGTCATCCTCGAGATCTCGGCGCTGAACACCACGGCGGTGCAGCAGGAGCAAAAGCAGGTCTTCGGCGAAGAGGCACGATTGCCCGGCAACCTCGACGACGTGAATGGCACGCAGGTCGACGGCGCGACCTCTCCGCCTCCGCCGGCCGCGACCACGTCCCCCGCGAGCGGCGAACGTCGAGGACGCCGCCTCAGGGTTGCGGACTTCCGGCGCCGACTCGAGGAGGCCAAGGTCGACGCCGCGGGGCAGGTGACCAACGCCGTGGCGGCCCTTCTGAAGGGCTCCGTCAACGGCACGGAGCCCGAGGTGATCGACCCGGACCTGGACTGGACCCCGGCCGGCTGGATGTCCAACATGACGCTCACGGTGACGAGCCGGATGCTCTCGTGGCGCGAGATCAAGGTCACCGACCCGGACGCGGCGTTCGTCAGGATCGATATCAAGAACGTCATCGAGAGCGAGAGCGACCACTACATGAAGCTGCTGTCGAAGCCTGACGCCAAGGAGAAGATGACGGCGTGGCTCATGGGGCTGGTCCCGAAGACCGACGTCGCGGCCGAGCTGCAGAGCATTCGCGTGCTGGCGGAAGGCTCGGACCTGATCGTCAACGAGGACTGCCCCGCGGACCGCGTCAACGCGCCCTCGGAGGTGTACTTCCAGTGGGACCCGCTGCCGTGGGGGCCCTGCAACGCCACGTGCGGCTCTGGGACGAAGCAGACGCGGGGTATCTCGTGCTCGATCATGGTGTACGTCGAGGAGGTCGGGGGCCACGTGCGCCTCAGGGAAGCTGAAGAAGAGGCATCGTGCTACGGTCTGCCCGTCACCTTCGCCAGGGAGCGGCTCTGCCAGCTCCCACCGTGCGAGGACGCGACGCTGACTCCGTCCGGCGACTTCACCGAGTGCACGCGGCCGTGTGGCGGCGGCACCCAGACGGCCATCATGAAATGCCGCACCACGCTGGGCAGGGAGCTTCCGCTCGCGGACTGCGACTTCAGCTACGCGCTGAACGCGACGACGCAGCCTTGCAACACGGAGAGCTGCCCGCCATTCGTTTACATGGGGGGCCCGTGGGGCCTGTGCTCGCAGGCGTGCGGCGGGGGAATGCAGCGGCGGGCGGCAACATGCTACGAGACCGCTGGCTTCACGCCGGCGGCCGGGGGCGCCGCGGCGTGTGGCGGTGCGCCGCAGATCGAGCTGGAGCGGCCATGCAACGTGCAGGCCTGCGCAACCGCCCGGTGGATGGTCGGACCGTGGGGGGAGTGCGACCGCAACTGCACGTCGTTCCTGCCCGCCGCGTTCGGCGGCAAGAAGCAGCAGGGCTCGCACTCCCGCGAGGTCTGGTGCGCGGACCCCGACGGATCGCGGGTGAGCGAGACGCGCTGCGTCGGCGCCCGCCCGAGCACCGAGGAGCCTTGCAACCTGCAGCTGTGCGTGGGCGAGTCCTACTGCACCGAGGTCAAGTGCCAGAACGACGGGGTGTGCAGAGACGCCGACAACGAGCGCGGCTGGGAGTGCGAGTGCCCAGCGGACGAGGATGGCGAGCTCCTGTGGAAGGGCCCGCAGTGCGAGACGCCCGCGTCGTGCAACGGGACGATCGCCAGCCAGGCCGACGGGACGACGTTCTGCTGCGAGTCGGGACGGCTCACGCCGACGGGTGGGTGCTGCCCCGTGGGCAACGACGCCGTGGATCGCAACGGCGACTGCTGCCCGGCCGGCTCACTGGACGGCTGCAACGTCTGCTTCGGAACCGGCACTGGGTTCGACGACTTCGGCACGTGCTGCGCCGCGGGCAAGGGGAGCGACGGGCGCTGCTGCCCTGCTGGCACAGCGCCTGACGAGTGCGGCGTGTGCGGTGGGCGCAACCTTTTGTGCGACCTGGAGGTGCCGGTGGTTCTCAAGATCTCCGAATCCGTCATCTCGAACGACTTGCCGTCGCTGCTGAGTGCGACGACCGGCTGGGTGGCCGGCGTCCTGGAAGTGCGGCCCGCGCGCGTCACGACGAAGGCGGGCACGGAGGTGCGGAACACCGCGGAGCAGACTCTGTCGGTCACGCTCATCCTCAGGCACCCGACCCAGAACGGCGACGCAGCCCTGTCCTCGCCAGGCGCGCACGCGGCGCTCAGGGCGGCCGGGAACACGATTTCGGCGACGTTCCGCCGCGTCGCACGATCCCGCCGCGCTTTGCGTGGCAGCGGTGAGGACGATGGCGTGGACGAACAGCTCGTCATGCTGGAGCCAGGGGCAGCTGCTGCCTGGGGCGACCGTCTCCTGGGCTTCCTGAACCCGCGGAGCCTCGTTTCGGTCCAGGTAGCGGCAGCAGCCGTGATCGGTGATGTCGGCACCTTGACGTCGTGCGGGAACGGCGTGTGCGACTCCTCTGCGGAGCGCCTCGTGATCTCCACAGACGGGGTCATCGGAGGGTGTGCGTGGGAGCCGTCCTTCGGGGCCGGCGTCGGCCTCGACTGCCCACAGCCGGTCTACGCCTGCCCGAGCCCATCGTGGGCCCCTTCGCAGCCCTGCGGGGCGAAGGGCACGTGCGTCGGCTTCCCCGACGCCGGCGTCACGCTGCGCGCCGGCGAGCCGGAGGAGATGCGCCACAAGGCAGTGTGCGCGTGTCAGGGTCCCTTCGTCGGGCCGGCGTGCGGGTCGTGCGCCGACGGGTACACGGAGATTGCTGGCAGCCGCGACAACGGCAACCTGCTGTGCACCCCCCTGGAGGAGACGCTGTTCACGGTGACGAACGCCACGGAGCCAGGACCGGACTACACGGACCTGGCGCCGGGCGCGCAAGCGTTCGTCGTGTGGATCCTGGTCACCGCGATGATCGCCGTGCCCGTCTTCTGCTTCTTCGCCATGTGGGGGCTGTCGGTCCAGTCCCTGTCCTGGTGCCAGCGGTACATGGCCCAGCACGCAAAGATCTTCGTGCGCCAACCGACCACCAAGAAGGGATCGAGCGATGGCGGCAAGGCGTCGCCGCGCAAGGGCCCGTCGACTCGAACCGGTTTCGTGGTCTCGAACTCCCGTCTGCATGCTCCGGACCTGATATGGGCGCGACTGACGTACAACGTCGCGAAGGGCGCCTCGAAGAAGACCGTGTTGGACGACACGTATGGGTACATTCCGGCCGGATCGCTGGCGGCGCTGATGGGTCCGTCCGGCGCGGGGAAGACGCAGCTGCTCCGTGCGCTGTGCGGGCACACTACGAAGGGCGAGCTCACGGGCACGCGCCTGTACTTCCGCCAGTCCGCCACCCTCAGCGAGCCGTCGCAGTACCTGCCCGACACGTGGCTCCGGTCCAACTGCAAGTTCGTGTCGCAGGGCGACGGCATGCTGCTCGACAATCTCACGGCGCTGGAGACGCTGCTGTACTACGCCGACATCGCCCTGCCCAAGCAGATGCCGCGCGAGAAGCGCATGGAGCGCGTGCGTCGCGTGCTGGCCGACGTCGGCCTGACGGACCACGCGGACGTGCCCGTGCGCCACGACGAGAGCGCTCGCGGGGCCGGCGGACTGTCCGGCGGCCAGATGCGCCGTCTGTCGCTCGCAGTGGCGCTGCTCTGCGACCCGCCCATGCTCTTCTGCGACGAGCCCACGAGCGGCCTCGACGCCACGTCTGCCCTGGACGTCTGCATGCTCCTCAAGGACCTGACGCTGGCGCAGGACCGCACCATCATCGTGTCGATCCACCAGCCGCGCGAGGACATCTTCTCGCTGTTTGACCAGTGCGTGCTCATGGGCGGCGGCGGGCAGACGGTGTACTGCGGGCCCAGCGTCGAGGCCGTGACGGACCTCCGCGACATGCTGATGGAGGCCACCGACGACGACAAGAGCTGGCAGCGGCTGTCGCAGAAGCTCAGCATGGCCGACTTCTTGATGGACGCCATGAACGACTCGTCGATCCTCGGCGTCTGGCGCCGGCACCGCCACGCAACGAGCGTCCGGCAGTCCATCTGCGACATCGCAGAGACGCACCTCCTCGCGAGCAGGTCGCTCGCCGCCAAGGCCGGGAAGCAAGCGGGCGACGACGCTGCAAGTCCGCGGTCGGGAGTGCACAGCAGCGGGACGCTGGCGAACCTCAGGGTGCAGGTCGGGCGCTTCATGGCCTCGCGCTCGCTGGCGGTGCAGCTCAGTCTGACGCTGAACGGCGCCGTCATGGGCCTGCTGCTCGGCCTGCTGTACCTGCGGCTGGGCACGTCCGACGCGCAGGAGCTCACGTACCGCCTGAACGTGTCGTTCTTCCTCACGCTGAGCATGGGCTTCGGGCTGCTCGTGCAGCACACTTCGCTGTTCCTGCCCGCGGAGATGGCCCGCGACCGCCTGGAGCGCTCCACGCTGGGGCTGCCGTGGCACTCCCTGCAGTCCTTCCTCGCCGTGCGCGACCCGACGATGACGCTCGGCGCCAGCATCGTCGCCCACGGGATCACGTACGCGCTGGCGGGCTTCCAGCCTGCGTTCCGCGCGTACTGCATGTCGCTGCTGGCGTTCTACTTGGGCATGCTTGCCATCCAGAGCGCCTACGTCCTCATGTACGGGCTGCTCGGGGCGGAGTGGGCGCTCGTGGCGTGCGGCTCCTTCATCGGCATCAACGGCCTGTTCTCGGGCGTCCTGCGCGCCATCCCGGACATGCCCGCCTTCCTCGGCGAGTGGCTGCCGTACGTCACGCCCCTCCTCTGGGCCATGCGTGCGGTCGCGGCGGCCGAGCTGCGCGGCCTCGAGACGGACGCGTGCAACCGGCCCACGCCGGAGATGAACACGCTGATCCAGGCCGTCGTCAACAACGACCAGAGCGTGTTGCGCGCGGAGCCGTGCATCAAGGGCGAGGACATCCTCGAGCGCGCCGGCTACGGCGGCACGGACGTGTTCGAGTGCTTCGGGATCCTGGCTAGCTGGATCGTGATTGCCAGGCTGCTGTTCCTGGGCTTGACGTACTGGCGCAGCAGGGTGGTTGCGCGCACCGACCTCAACTCGCAGGTCGTCGTCCTGGAAGGCGGCGAGGACACGCCGGCGGAGGAGGCCGCGAAGACGATACAGTACTACTTCCGCATGCGCAAGCTGCGACAGACGGTCCACGAGTTCACCGGACGGTACGAGGCCGTGGCCAGGCTGCACAGGGCCAAGGCGGGCTTCTACCGCAAGGCTTTCGCGAAGAAGCGCGCCGTCGGGGCAGCACGGGCGTTCGCGCGCAGCAGGGCCACGAGCAGGGCCACGAGCGCGGCGCCGAGCCCGCGCCGCTCGCTGGCCATGGGCGAGGACACAGATGGCGCAGTCTCGGAGCACCACATCCAGGTCACGAACAACTTGGCAGCGGGACTGTCGTCGATGCAGCAGCGACGTGTAGGGTTCGCACCCGACGCCGACGAGGACGAAAGCCCCGCGGACTCGGGGTTGCTGCAAGTGCCGGGCCGGCTGGCGATGGCGGCGCAGGCCGCTGTGGGGCGCGCCATCTTCGGCAGGATGCCTGCGCCGTCGCGGCTTGCGAACGCCACCACGTCCGAGTACGATTCCCCGCTCGGATCCGTCGCCCATTCGGCCCGCGAGGAGGCTTGAGACGTCTCCTTTTCATCTTGTACAATTCCCGCAGTAAGATCCTTAGAATTAGATCCCTAGAATTATACGAATCACAATTGATCTGTATCGAGTCTATGCGGCCGATTCATCCGCCCGCAGCTAGGGCACGAAAGGGACCGCTGTCAGGCAGCCGCCCTCATGTGACCCATGTCATTGACAACACTTGTGTCAAGCAGCACGCCCCGACCGCGTCAACCTCCGACCGGCAAGCCTAGGCGCATGACGTCACTTTCGACGTCGGGCAAGAGGTGGGCGACCCGGCGCAGCGCGGCGGAGAGAGCGCTGTGCGAACGTCGTTGCTGCGTGCGCGGCAGGAGAGCGCTCGCTGCACGCGGGCGGCGGCGGCGTGACAGTGCGTGCGTGCGCAAGCTTGTGTGTGGGCTGCGATGACCGCAGAGCCTCACTGCGCCCCCACTGGTGTCAGTTGAGGCTCGCTGGAACTCCCGCCGCTCGTGACGCGGAGGTCAGCGGGGGCGGACGTAGGCCGCGCTGGCTCAGGAGGACGGGAGCGCTGGGGATGTGGGTTCCGCACGCCGCCGGCCCCAGGAGAGCGCGAGGGGTCGCGGTGTCGCACGCTAGGCCGTGCATTGTCTGGCGCAAGCAGCGTGCGATGCGACAGCGCTGTCGTTGTCGGCCTGACGCCCGCCCCTGCTCCGGACGCCGTCACGGGCTGCCTTGGTGACCTGCCACGGCCCCCGCTGGCAAGACAGGCGGGGCGGGGCAGTTTTTCGTGACCCCTCCCACAGCCTGACCGCGGGCGCGAGGATCCTGCTGGCCGTGGACAAGGGCGGGGCGGCGAACGGACGCGCTGCATGCGCGCATTGATATATGTCGATGCGCTGTATTCGACGGGCCGCTTCGCCCAGGCCCGTGCCGCACTGCGGAGGGGCTCTATGACAGGCAACTGCAACGCTCGCGTGGGGGGGGATTGAACGCCGAGTGAGACGGAATCACACCAGAATCCCGTCTTTGATCCAAGATCTTTTCCGCCAGCAAGAAACGCGCCACCCGCGGGCGTCACGGGGCCCGCGATGCCCGGCTTCAACCTGGAGGTGGAGCGGCAGGTGGCCCCGATCCGGTCGGCGTGCTGGTCGCCCGCCATGGACCTCGTGGCGGTCCACTTCGAGGATGACATGCTCGCGGCGCACCGCATGAACTTCCAGAGGCTGTGGAGCCGGCCAGAGTCCAAGGTGCGATGCTGTGTTGTTGCAGCGAAACGCCCGCGCTCGCCCCATACGCGCTGCCCGGGCCTCTTCCCGGAGACACTCGCGGCCAACACGGTCGTTCAATCCCACGCGAGGTAGTTCCGCTCGCCAGCGCGGCTTGCGCCCAACCCGGCGCGCGTGGCAGAGCCCGCAGGAACAGGCATGTGTGTAGCGGCGGGCGACACGCGGCGAGATGTCCCGCGGGGACCAACGCCCACGCCTGTCGCGCCCGTACGTAACGCGCAGGTGGCGGGGATGTGCTGGTCACCGGGCGGCCGCGTGCTGGCGTGCGCGCTCCAGGGCGGTGGGACGTTGCTCCTTGACGCCGAGTCGCAGCAGGTGCTGGCGACCCTGCCGCCGCTCCAGGCCGGGGGCGTCACCGAGCAGCTCTCGTGGACGCAGGGCCCGGAGCTCGGCCCAGGCAAGTGCACGGCGGCCCATCCGTTGTGCTGTCGGTGCCGACTGCTGCTTCGCCACGCCACGACGTCCGCAGCGGCTGCGGCGCTCCCAACACCATCGCGCGCGGAATCCTCTCATCGCAGGGCGCGTCGGCGGCTCCGGACTCCCGGCCGCTCCCCCGCTCGAGGTCCCGCTGTCGAACAATGGTGCGTCCGGGTCCGGGGGGCCGTACGACGATCCGCAGGAGCAGTGGGCGACCAAGGAGCCGCCGCGCTCCGTGTCGGACGTCCCGGACGCTCTCACGGTGCTCGTGCGCGCCGCCGCGTCGGCCCCGTCGGGCGCGCAGGCGGCCCCCGCGATGGTGGAGCTGCGTGCGTGGGGGCTGGTGCGGATGTGCGTGGTGCGGCTGGGGGATGACGGGGCGACGGCGCGGATCACGGCGCAGGTGTCGCGGTCGATCGACTCGGTCACCGCGCTGTGCGGGTCGCAGCGCGCGGTGTGGGTGTGGGGGGCGCGCACGGGCCTGGACAGCAACGACGTGGCGGTGGTCGGGCGGGTGGCGCTGGACCTGATCGAGATCCAGCGGCGCGTGGACGCGGTGGTGGTGACGCTGCGGGAGTCCCACCGCGCGTGGAAGGGCGCTGCGGACGAGTTCGCAGTTGACGTGCAGCGCTGGGAGCGGCTGCTGGTCGACAACGGCGAGGAGGTGCGGCGAGCGACACGCGCGCCTACCGTGGGCCTGCTCGTTGCGCCGTGTAGTCCCTCACGCCCACCGCTCCACCCACCCGCGTCGCTGCAGTGTGGGATGTTGCAAACGGTGCTTCTTCGGATGCTCGAGGAGGGATACCACACGCCCGGCGTCCAGCAGGCGCTCACGACGTTCCTCGGCGACCAGCGGCTGAAGCGGCACGCGCGCGCGATCGAGGCGGCGGCGGGCAGGGTGCACCAGGACCTGGTGACGCGCGTGCGCCCGCTGGTGCAGGACTGCCTCCTGAGGGCCTCGCGCGCGCAGGGCCTCGCGTGTTCGGCGCTCGGGATGGACAAGGGCTTCCTCGCCCAGGTGCGAGCGCTCCGTGCGGCGCCCGCGCGCGCCAAAACACGGATGACGATGTACTTGATACCCTGCTCGATGTGGTGCCTGGCGCGGTGCTGGATCGGCCCCGGCTGCAGCGTGATGCAGCGTGCGGGAGCGTGTCGTGGATGCAGGAGCAGGGCCTGTTGGCCGGCATGTTGGTTCGGTGCGAGCAGCAGCAGGCCCACGTTGCGGAGGCGGCGCGCTCGTGGACGGCTTTCTTCTCGTGGCTGCTCGGCGCGGCGATGAGCCTCAACCTCGAGGCGGACGTCGGCGTCCCGGCGATTGACCTCCCGCGCGTGCACGCGATCATCGAGCGCATCCACCACACGGACACGCTGTGCGCGGAGCTGGACGTAGACGGCGCGCGGCAGCCTGCGGGCGGGGCGCGGGGCGCCAGCGTGCTGCTCGCCGAGGATCTGTCGCTGCAGGAAGCGCTGCTCAGGGCGGCGGGGCGCGGCACGAGGGACGGGGGCACGCTCGCGCGGCACGCGCACAAGCTGGCGAACGCGCTGCAAACGGCGGAGGGGTGCCTGACGGTGAGCGCCCGGGCCACGTCGCACGCACGGGCGATCGATCTGTTCGCACGACCGCTGCGTCGCGTGCGGCGCCCGTTGCGTTTTGACTGCGACGGTGTGCGCACACGGCTCGTGCCCTCGCAGGGGATGTTCGAGGCGCGCATGGCCAGGGTCGTCGCGGAGCACAACGTCGCCATCGCGGCAAGACCGGCGCTGCGATCCCCCGTGTTCCGTCTGCACGTGCCGCGGCATCCAAAGCACGACGCGAGCACAGCGACGCAGGTCCTGGTCTCGTTCGACGACAGCGACCGGGAGGTCCTGATCGCCCGCGGCCGCGAGCATCTCACCGCAGACCTGCGGGCGGCGGCGGTCGCGTGGAAGGGCGGCGCTGCAGCGGGCGCGGAGATCTACAGGGAGGGCGCGGTGTGCCTCGCGACCGTCGACGGAGACCGGGGCGCGCTGCAGGTGCTCGCGGTGCCGGACGCGTGTCTCAACGAGCATCAGCACCCGGGGGCATCGTTGGAGGAGAGCTGCAGGTCGCAGGGGCCCCTCCAGCTGGCGGACATCGTGTCGCAAGGTGCGCCGGCACGCGCCGCGGTGACGCGCTGCGCGCGCATGCAGCCGCACGCAGCTCTTGATGCTGACCCTGCGACTGTGGACGTGCGGCTGCCTCCGCAGAATTGGGCGCTGCGCTGTCGCGACGGGAGCTGCGAGGCGCGATCGCGCATGTGGCGGTCGGTAGCGAGCGCGGCCTGTGTCTCGTGTACGCTGCGCCCCGCCACCTGTACGTTCTCGACCTGGAGGACGACGAGGACGACGATGCGTCGGACGCGGAGGAGGACTGATCGGCGACGTGGGTGTTTTTCGGCGACGGACCTCGCTAGTGGCGTCTCCGCAGCGCGCTCTGGTCGCCGCGGACGCGTCGACCGCTGCCAACGAACGACACGGCGCAGGAGCTGCCTGAAGCGCGCCGCACAGCAGATGGCGTGAGCAGCGCGGCTGCCTGGGGCAGCGCCGATTGGCGTTGCAACGCTGAGCCCCCGGTCGCGAGGCGCACGCGGCCGGCTGTCGGTCGCCGGCAAGTTGCCGGATGCGGCTGCCGAGGCCAGTCGCGTGCGTCAGCGGCGGTCCGTTTCGCGAACGTCTCAACGACGGAAGCACGTGGCTCCTTGCGGCGGGCGCTAGCAAGGACAGGTTGGTCTGGTGGGCGACGGGATGTTCGTCGGGGTGCGGCTGGTGCGCTCGGGCGACACGAGCATCGTTGCCGGCAGGGGCAAGGAGCGGCCCGACCCAGCGCGCCCCTGCGCGGCGGGGGCGCCAGCGCAACGATGGCGACTGGGGCAGGGCGACAATTGGCCGCGTACGCGCTGGGCGGCGGCGGTGGGGCGATATGCGTACGGGCCGATGCAGTAGGACTCGTTGGGTGCGTCGAGTGCTCACGCTCGGGCCGCCCTGGCAATGCGCGCCGGTGTCGCTGGTGCGTGCATGGTCATGCGCTGGTGCGCGACGAGGCGGTCCCTGCGGCGTGGCTCGTGCGCTTCGACGGTGCGCGTGGACCGACAGCCTCGATGCCTGCGCTGGCAGCGGGCGAAACGTCACGGCGTCGCTGCACGACGCGGAGGCACCTGCGCATTTTGGGCACTTTCGCGGCACAGCAGGAGCGCCGTGCACGCGCTGGCAGCTGGTCCGTGGATGGAAACATCGTCGCCACAGGCGGCGAGGCGAGGTCCGGAGGAAGCGGCACCGATCGGAGCGGGCAGCGCGCAGCGACGTGTGTCGCGACGCAGCAGCACGCGGCGGAGACGCGAGCTCAGACGACGAAGCTCCGCGCTCAGAGCCTCCGTCATCTGTACTGCACGGAGCCGACAACGTGCTTCCAGGGGCACTGCCCGCGCCGGCGCTGGGGGACGTGATGGGTGGTGACATTGCAGGAGGCGCATGAGCACGGTGCTGGCCGCGGGACGAGAGTGGCACGCCCCGGCAGCGAGCGACAAGCCGAGGACCAGGCTTCGAGTGCCGTGCAGGACCAATGCGTTCGGTGAACGTGGTGGGGAGCGGAAGCGCCTGCAGCGTCAACGCGGCAGGGAGAGCGGAAACAGAAAACAGAAACAGTTACGGATGTATTACGGATGCCTCTACTGCCTCTACTTTGACTTTGGCGGGCCGTGGCGCGCCTAAGACGACGCGCGCCGGGTGTTTCGCGCCTGCCCGCAGTAGTCCGCGTCACGGACCACCGTAAGACGCGCGCGGCGCACCGTGCGACGGCCGGACCGCGGAGGTACGGGCCGCCGAAGTGGGATTTTTCGGAAAAGCTCTGGACGGGAGGGTACATTTCGGGCGCTGGCGTCGTGTTGCGGGCGCCGGTGGTGCTGGATCGCGTGCCCCCAGCGCAGCGGGTCGCGGGACGCCCTCTGCGCGGGCGAGCGCGGGCGGCACGCGCGGTGTCGCGACGGGAGCGCGGTCTGAAGTTGGTAAAACTCCAACTAGGGGGGCCGGAGTATATCGGCAGTCACGGAACAGAGTCTAGTCGTGACTCGGCACATATATATCTGATCAAATATGCCTCATGACTCCTAAGATACCCGTCAAATAGGCATATCTGCGCCTATTTGTCGGTGCGCACTTTCAAATATAGACCAGGACGGGCGCGAGACGGGTCGAGATGGTGACCGTGTGCGGTGACCGGAGTTAGACCACAGGTGAGTGCGCCACAACGGCGACCCGGGGTCGGCTGCGGGGTGACGTCGTGCAGATGTCAGTCATCGAAACAGAAACAGAAACAGTTACGTCAGCACTTTGGCCCCCAGCGTCAGGCACGTCATATGACGCGTGAGTCTGCTCTGACGGTCAGTATGACGCCGGCTCTGACGCGCGCTTCTGACGCGTGATCTGACGCGTGAGTGCCTCTGACCGTCGGACTGACCGTCAGACGGTGGCGGGGGCTCTCACGCGGCTCACACGCGTCGCGGGGCTTCGTTGGGCGCCCTCGGCCCCGCGCCCGCCTACGTCAGGATGTGAACGTAGTCGTTGACGGCGAACACGGTGCGTGTGAAGTTACCGCCGATCCTGGCGGCGTTCCAAAGATGGCGGTCATCCACCACACCGCGCTCGCCGGCCTGCCTGTCCTCCACGGCGTGCAGGAGCACCCTGCGCGTGATACTCGACACAGGTACGACGCACAGCTCCGGACACGTGACGGTTTTCCCGCGGATCGCCTCGTTCCTGGCCGCCCACACGACCCGCTTGGCCCCCAGCCCGGACGAGCGCCGCTGGTCCACCCGCTGACCGTCGTCGGCGTTCGTCTTGCTGAACATCTGTATCACGGCGACGTCGGCGAGGTCTTTCACCCGCGCGACCGCCACCAGGCGGCCAATCCTGTCCTTGCCCCCCTCGACGGGCACCCACACGTCCGCCTGCTGCACGGGCCCCGTGGGGACGTCCGACATGTTGGCAGCTGGCGTCGTCTCGAAGACGTGCGCGGGGGCGATCCCGCACGTGCCCTCCAGTTTGATGCCCTTGACGAATTCGACCTTGACCATCGCCCTGGCCGCCTCCGCCACGTCCACGCCCCAGCGCGCCGCCGCGTGCAACCAGAGCGCGGTCGGCACCAGCGCCAGGGAGGGCTGCAGGCGAACGGCACGCGCGAGATCGGACTCGCCCGTTCGCCGCGGGTCCGCGCCCTCGCGGGCCAGCGTTTGCAGCCCATCGACGCGGTACTCATGCAGCTCCCACAGGTCCACGCGCCGCAGGAATGACCCCGCCGCCGCCGACGGCTCCGAACGCGGAACGCGGGCTGCCGTCACGCGACCGACGACCTCCGTCGCCGCGCGATCCCGCTCGGCTAGAGCCACGGCCTGCACACGTCGGCGGCGACGCAGGCAGGTCTCCCTCGCTCCGCGCGATGCTGCGGCATGCACAGCGGAGCAGGTGGCGCACGCGGGGGCACTCGATCGCATCGCACCTGCCTCCGCTCACTGGCCGCGTTGTGGTTGTTGAAGCCATGCACGGACCTGTGCTTGGCCTCAAACATCCCAGTCGAGGCCATCGTGCCGCCGCCCCAGTCCTCGATGAGCTCGGCCATGTGCCAGCCCTCGTGGCTCTTCGGGAAATGGCAGATGTCCTTCGGGGTGAACGGAGCATCCTCGACCATGTCGGCGTCGTCATCGCTCTCGATGCCCTGCGCCTTCCTCTTCTCCCGCTTTCTGCTCCGCTTCCTGAGCGCCGACTCCTCCGCCCGCTTCCGCCTGGCACGGTTGTGCAGGTCTCCAAAGACCGCGCGCACGGCATCGAGGAAGCCGCCGTACTCCACCTTGTAGTTCTCGACTGTCGTCGGCGTCGGTTGCTCCTCGTGGATCAGCGCGAGCACGCGCAGGAAGCGGCTCCAGACGCCGACGAGGTCGCGCCTGCAGCTCTCATTGGCGTGCCGCTCCAGGAGGAACGGCATCACCATCGCCACGGTGCGCAGCTGCTGCCCGGTCGCGCGCGTGATGGTGCCCACGTCCTGCGCCGACGTGCTCCGCTCCTTGTCGATCGTGAAGCCCCTCCCGGGAAGGCCCATCCCTGGGACGATCGCCTGCAGGGCGTGCAGGTCGCTGTCGATGGACTCGATCGACGCGCCGCTGCCCTCTTCCTTCAGAAGCATCACCGTCCACACTACGAGCTTCTTGGGCCACCCCAGGTAGAAAACGTGGAGGACGTCGGGGTAAAACATCTGTGGAGCATGGAGCGGTCGCGAGCGTCGGGCGGCGGCGGCGCGGAGTCCGCAGCGCGGACAGACCTAGATGACACGTGTGTGGTTGCACGCACGTGCACTCGAGGACACGTGGCTGCGTCGTACCGGGCGCAGCGCGCCACACCAGCGCGCGTCGGCGTCGATCTCACCTGGTACATGTCGATGTACTCGGCGAAGAGCGTGCTGGCGGGCACCACAGGGTAGGTGCTGCCGCTTTTCTGGCAATGCTCGTCCGCGACCGACGCCTTCTGTGGCGGCATGTCCCGCGCCTCGCCGACGATCTTCTGCATCATCCCTTCCCATCGACGCTTCTCCGCCACGGGGGGCATTGAGACGCTTCTGACCATGCACTTTGAGCACGGGTACGCCGAGTCCGCGTGCAACCGCAGGCACGCCTGAGCGATCTTCTCCAGGATGTCCAGGCACCACACGGCCGGCACGAGCGCGATGCGGCGGCTCACGCCGTCGGGGAAGCGGACGTTTACGCCCACCCTGCCAGATTCATCGGGCCGGAGCGTTTCTTGCAAGAAGGGCTCAAGGATGGCGCGCATGCAGCGCTGCCACGCCTCCCGCGCAGCCGTCCGCGCCGCAGCGGGGGACCTCGGCGTCCGAATCTTCGGCAACTCTGCGGCCAGGAGCGCGCACGACCGCTGCACGTCCTTGGGGGCGTTTGCAATCGTGGCATATAATGGGTGAATGGAGCTGCTGCCGCCGTTCGGTGTGTCGTCCGACGAGAACTTGATGGCCAGAACGAGGACCTCGTCGTCGCCTGTCGTGCGCCTGACTCGCTCCTGCGCGGCGGCGGGTCGCACGAGCGCGGCGGCGACGTGTGATGCCAGGCTGCGGTCGATTGGCACGACGACGCGAACGGACGGGCCGCGCAGCAGCACGCACGCCACGGCGCGTCAGGGTCGAGGGGCTTCGGCGGCGGGAGTCATCGCGTGCGGACTCACGGTCAGTTCCCGGTACGCGCGGCATCGCTGGGGGGGGTAGAACTTGGTCCGACCAGGCTTTCCGGGCTTGAACAGGTCGTCGATCTCAGCGGTCGTCATGCCCTTCATCCCCTTCACGAGCTTCTCCGCGAACACCGCTGGATCGTGCGTGCTGCGGTACAGCACTGTTGAAGACGTGGGACCATGCTGGACGACCCGCTGTACTGGCATCGTGGCCTCGTGCGTCAACCACCAGGCCTTCACGCGATCGGCGGTCCCGAACTCTGTCTTGTAGATCTGCCACGCCTCCGCCGAGTCGAGCATCTTCGCCAACCTGTTGTAGCTGCCAGTCCCGCCCTTCAGCGCGTCGAGGGCGGCCTTCGCGACGCGGTCGATCAGAGGGACGTCCTCTGTCGGCGCAGATCTGCCGGCTGCAGCCCTGGAGATCACCTCAGTGATGTCGCTGGTCCACTCAACATTCAGCCCCTCGCCAGGATCGCAGTCGCTGTCGAATTCCTCGAGGGGTTCGAGATCGTCGACGGTTCCGACGCTGTCGACATTCGACGCGTCGTCGCTGGCCCCTGCGAGAGCCTCGCCCGCGTGCGGCGAGCCCTTGTTGCACAGTTGCATGCCGTCATCCCCAAAACCCGCGTCCTCTGCAATGCCGCCCTCATCGCCGCCCAGCGTCTCGCACAGCTGCAAGACTGACGGTGCAGCAGCGCCGTCGGGCGGGCCCGCGATGCCCGTCGCGGTCTCTGGCTGCTGTCCTCGCCATTGCTGCTGCCTTTTACGGCGTGTGACGGCGGCCGAGCTCGGATCGGCATCGCAGCGATGACTGGTGAACGATTCGTGCGTCACGAACTCTCCGTGGCAGGTCTTGCAGCGGATGATCACGATCTTTTCTGTTTTGCTTCTTTCCTGCGCCTGTTTCGCCATCCTGGCGACATCTTGATACGTGGAATTGCGCTTCATCTTCCACAAAGTAACCTCGCATCGCCTCCGGGGCACGCTTGGTGTCGGGGGCGGCGTCAGGGGGGCGGGGGACTTGGTCACTTTGAGCGGCCAAAACATCTCCGCCGATCGGGCGCAGCATTACGGGCGCGCAGGTGCCCTCCGCGGCCAAGTACGGCATCGACCAACTCCTGGAGGCGTTACACGGCGCGGTACCAGCCCCCGAGGGTCCGATCGGGGCCAGCACTCTCGGTGAAAAGAAGCGAGGCCAGGCCCGATGGGCAGCAGGAGCAAGAAACACAGAAAAAAGCGCAATCGCTCGGTGCGTACAGCCTCTGTGCCGCAGCTGGAGGCACAATCTCGCTGCGCGCAGTCCAGGACGCTGAGGAATTCGCTCATGCGCCAAAGCCCCATGTTTTCGAATGTCGATGGCCCCCCTGCCCCGCGTCAACCTGCAGGACGACAGTTCCGTCGAGTCTTCTGACGATGAGGTGAGACGACACGTCCCGCGTGCGCGGCGCCCTCTTCCCGACCGCCCACGACCCCTGGTTTGGTCGTTTCTCTTCGAGCACCGCGCTTCCTCTCGCCTATTGCAGGCCCGCGGCGCCGAGCGCAAGCAGCTGCGCAAGCTGACCAAGATCGTCACGAAGGTCGTCAGTGCGAGCGAGAAGGTCCAGAAGCAGCTCAAGGAGTTGCGGGACGAGAACAGCGCTGCGCGGAAGGCCCTCGAGAGCAAGGTGATGCGGTCGGAGTCGAAGCTGCTCTCTGCCATTCGCACGGTGGAGAAGCATGTGGTGGAGGGCAAGACCTCGGGAGAGAAGAAGCAGTCTTTCTCTGAAGAGATTGCCTGTACTATCAGTACGGGGCGCTTGTCAAGCCCGAGGACCTCATGTCGCTCCTCTTCTTTGCGGGGAAACTCGACATCGATGAGGCCGAGATGGAGAACCTGGCGAGGGCGGCGCACGGACAGGTCACAAGCTCTCTCCAGGAGGTCCTCGACAACAGCAAATTCAAGCAGATCAACGACAAGGTCACCAAGGTGCGCGGTGCGAGGAGTGTGTGCCATGTGCTCGCCGCGCGCAGATCCCGGCGCACGCCGCTGGCCACCGCGGCGCGATGTGCACGCACGCAAGCGGCGAGCACATGTCATGCGCCTGGCGGGCAGCTCGCAGCCGCGCCCCTGGGCCTGACCGCATGCCGAGACTTTGGTACGTCGCTGTCGCCCCCGTCGCGTCGCAGGGCTGGAAATCCTGCTCCAGACAGGTGAAAGGGCTCCTTCGCAAAGTCATCCACGTCGCGATGCGAGAGTTCGGCAATCACTTGCTCGAGGAGGCCGACGGCGCGCCGGGCACGGCGCTGGCGAACGAACTGACCCTCAACAAGGAGGCCATCCAGCGGTTCCGCCAGTGCGGCTACGACCAGGTCAGAATGCTTCAGGATTGGGTCGGCAGTGGCAGCGTCTCAGCCGAAGGCGTGGTGGGCTTGCGCGTTGAGCAAGAGAGTCTCCTCTTCAAGGTTCTGCGAAGGCTCGCGGAGAGCAACTACTTCGCTCGAGTGGTGAGCTTGGGATCATTGGATGTGGAGGGCGGTGCCGCACTCAAGGTCGCACGGCTGACGCCCGGGGTGTTGCTGATCGTCGCTGTGGAGGTGCGCAACAGTCTCGCCTGTCCTCCCCTCCTGCGCGCAGGCGCCCTGCCACGTGCAGCGCTGCGGGGTTGCAAAGATGCTGGATCTGATTCTTGCTAAACGTCCGGCCTCGTCCACGTGCGGCCTCGTGCCCGCAGGTGCTGCGTCTCTACACGCCGATCGAGCGCCGGCCCGCGCTCGAGGGCACGATCGCCCCGGATCTGCGCGCCTACACCTACAGCGACGGCAACGTCACTGTGAACATGCCTAGTAGTGGAAATGCGCCGGGGAACCGCGCGCACCGCCGGTTCGGCGGGACGCCCTGACTCACCCCGGTTGCCCCCGGCTCGCGTCCGGGACCCACCGCTCGGACGTGGTTCGCACCATTCCGGGGCGGTGGGACCCCGTTTCACACGTTCCACCGGCCCCCGAGCCTCTTCCCCCGACGTCGCCGTGCGCTCTGTACAGGGCCTCAGACGCGTCGCGGAATGCCGCGCCCGCTCCTCTGATCCCGACTCGCCGCCGCCGTCACGAGGAATCCACCGCGCAGTGCCCGCATGGGACGCCAGGGCCGGAGATGTCCCACGCTGGTGACAGACCAGCGCGCCGGCCGCACGTCGCGCAGCGTCGACGTTGTGGAGGGGGCGCGGCAGACGTGGGTCGTACAAACCGCGCAGAGGCGCCGGGAGGGGAGTGCTGGGCCGATAGTCGCCTTCTCTCGGCGCAGCGGCCTGGAGTAGCTGGGGGTGGCTGCACAGTGCACCGCGCCCGCCTGCGCGTCCTAGGCGTCGGGGCACCGCAGGGGTGGCGCCATGACGCGGTCGAGTACCCGGGGTCACAGCAGGGGCGCGGCGAATACCGCCGAAGGTCACGTAGGGGACGCCAGCGGCCTTCCCGCCCATTCAAGCGCTGTGCACTCATTAATGCTGCGCACAGGTTCAGGCGGGAGGGCGGCGTCCTTGCGCCGCCCCGGAGGCCCTCCCGCCGCGCCTGCTCGGTCGGGCCGCGGGCGGCTGCGGCGGGGTTCGCGTCCACGGCCCCGCCATACTGTGAACATGTCTAGTAGTCGAAATGCGCCGGGAACCCGCGTGCACCGCCGGTTCGGCGGGGCGCCCTCGCTCACCCCGGTGCCCCCCCGACACGTCCGGGTCCCACCGCCCGAACGTGGTGCGCACCGTCCCACGCCGGGCGCAACCCTTTTCCCACGTTCCACCGGCCCCCGAGCCTCTTCCCCCGAAGTCGCCGTGCGCTCTGTACAGGGCCTCAGAAGCCGCACGGAATGCCGCGCCCGCTTCTTCCATCCAGGATCGCCGCCACTTGTTCGCGGAATGGACCGCATGGTCCCCGCATGGGACGCCAGGGCCGGAGATGTCCCACGCTGGTGACAGACTAGCACGCGGCCGCACGCCGCGCAGCGTCGACGTTGTGGAGGGGGCGCGGCAGACGTGGGGCGTACAAACCGCGCAGAGGCGCCACGAGGGGGCTGACGGGCCGATAGTCCTCTTCTGTCGGCGCAGCGGCCTGGAGAAGCTGGGGGTGCTTGCACGGTCGACCGCGCAAGGCTGCGCGCCCTAGACGTTGAGGGACGCCGCAGACGCCACCGTGTCGCGGTTGAGCGCCCCAGGGAGCAGCAGGAGTGCGATGAACGCTGCAGGAGGCTGCGTAGGGGACGCCAGCGGCCTTCCCGCCGCTTCCTGCCCTGGGCACTCGCACCCCGGCCGCATCGCCTCGCAGCGGGCGGACGGTCTTGATTGACGGTGACCCAAGCTCGTGCACCGCGTCCGCAGCAACGATGCCGGGGAGCAGCGCCGCCTCTACAGCGGCGCTTCACCCACTGCCGCAGCGCTGCCAGCACCCTCTTCCCGCAGTCGCCGAGGACGCAGGCAACCTCCCAGCACGACGCCGGAGCGCAAGAGTGGTCGTGCGGCACGAACGCGCGGCGCTGGTGCCGGAAACGGGCACCCGTGGCGCCGAGGGCGCTTCCCGCGGTGAGCAGGGGTTGGGCTGCGCCACCAGTGCCAGCGGGCCCGCCCCGCACCACGACCTCTAGCACGCCGCTTATGGACGTCACACGCCACTGCGCACACCTCGCGGGTCGCGACGGCACGCGCAAGCGGCCGCGTCCGCGATGTACAGCCCACCGCTTCTGGAGCTCCTCCGTGGACGGCGCCCGCGCGTGCACCAGCGAATCCCGGACCAGGCGTGCACATCCGGCCGACCCGGCCGACATGGTGCCGTTGTGCCCCTCCCGGCCACCGCAGTGCAGGACAGTTGATCAACACCTGATGAGGTGTTTCCGCCGTCTCGTCCGGGCGGTCATGCGCTGCTGGGCGACATAACGCGGTGCCAAGGACAGCTGCGGCTCCGGAGGAGCCTGTGAGCTCCAGTGCGCGCATGTGAGCCCGCAATTCGGCGAAGCGTAGGCGTGCATGCGCGTACGCGTCGCCCGAGCCTCAACAGTGCGCTCCTCGGTCTACGCGGCCTCCCAGGGGACTCATACGAGCGTGAGTGCCAGGGGCGGTGGTGCACAGCGCAGCGCGGTGCGCTGCGGCGCCCATGACTGATGTGCCCCGCTGCGTCGCTTGGTGCACCGCAGCCGGGAGGGCGCGACTGCGCTGGGGCAGGCGCCTTGGCGGCCGGCACGCGTCATATACGCGTCGCGCCGAGGCGGCTTCCGAAGGCGCTCGTGCTGCGACCGTCGGCCGCGCAGGCCCTTGAAAACGTCTATTGTTTTGGCCAGTTGCTCAGCACGATGCGGTGGCCGCGGGGAGGTGGACGACGCACGGCGATGGCATGCGCGAGCGTGGAGAGCAGCGACCGCGTGTACAGCTAGGCGCGACACGACGCGGCGTCACATGGCGCCGCAGAGCGACGTATACGTTCGACGGCCTTGCAGGGCAGCGGCAGCAGCAGGAGCGCCCAGCGCATCTCGGCAGGCAGGAGATGATGACGACAAGTGTATGACACGACTGCGGCGCCACGCGACGGCTGCGGTTTCGTGCGGCATCGATGCAGCTGCCATGAATTCACGCAGCCCTGAGCCAGCGCGAGGAATGTGCGGTTTTCGCGGCCACAAGACGCACACGGCACACATAGGTCCCAATGGACGTCTACGCCGCACGTGTGCCCAGAAACAATGTCAATGATTCGACCAGCGGGCCAGTTATGGGCTCGGCTTCATACCTCCGTGTCGAATCC